GAATTCGATTAAATTGTCAGGGTTTAGACCGTGTTTACCCAGGCTGCTGGCGCCTGCAAGGCATAAAGCCACAAACATCAGTGGTTACCCGGATTCGCCCTTCAACTACTGGGATTTCTGGTGTCATCATAGCGACAATGATAGGTACTTGGCGTTCCCAGTACAGGCTTTCAGTACAAAACAGTCCAAAATAATCCCAAACATTTGGCCCTTAAGGCCGTGTAGATCCGTGTAGCACGAACTCTACATCCCTAAAGCCAGCCCAGCCGGGATCAAGCGCACGGTGCACACTGAAGGCAGCATGCTTGCGTGCTATGCTACTGCAAGGCTGTCAAGCTGAATATAATAGGCCCAGGGCAATCATAGCAATACTATTCCAGATTTTGCTCCTCAGGGGTCCTTCATACGATTAGTTGCTCATTCGCCCGAAACCGTAAGTCTAATCTAATTCAAGCCCCCGATAGCATGAAGCTCCAGTTTTCTCAGCGCCGCCGCCAGTTGTCGTCTTCATCGGCCGCGCATCCAGCTCCTCCTTGGGAGCGTGGGGTTGCATATCGTTTCCCCTTGCCTTTAGCTTTAGCAGTCTGCGAAAGGGGTAACTGGCCCGAGATGAACTCTGAAATGTGGGGCCAGTGCACCTTAAGTGCCTCAACATTCTCCCAACGCACCTTCCTGCCAGGAGGTCCCTCCCCTTTGGGGACCTGTGGGCCATCTGCCTTGATCTGGGCCCATACTCCCCAATCATGCTCCACGAAAACCAACGTGGGATCTGTGTTCAACATGTAGTAATCGTCCCTTCCCAATCGGCTTGAGTACCGGACTGAATGTGAAGGCATTTCAAGCCGGAAGCGATCTCTTCCGGCGTGTGTGGACTCAAAGAACCCGGCTGTCGCCTTTGCATAGACAAAAGTTTGCACGGGGTAACGCGCGCTTTCACATGCCAGGTAGGGCAGCACCACAGGTTCCACACGAGAATCCCGAATTGTCTCGAACTCAAATCCCAGCACCTCTTCATTCCATTCTCTTTGCGCTGTGCCCAGCAAGTCTCCATCCACTTTGCGTATCACATCACCACCCGGAAATGCCCATTGACCTCCATCGTTCTCAGCATCCCACACGAGCCAGACAAACTTGCCCCGTTCATCGGAGAAGAGCATCACCACAGCAGCACACCGAGCAAAGAGCGATTTGTCAATTGCTTGTTCGATCGGTCGCAGCCGGTGTGGCAATGCCTGCGCAACAGCATTATAGAATGGCGACACCAACTCTAGCGTGTTCGCCCCGGTCAAGATCTGGTGCACCCACTGCGGCTCTATCTCCCCGACAAAATCATAGTAAGGCGACACCAAGTCTAGCATGTCCACAGCTTTCAAGCTCTTTTGCTGAAACTTCCATCTCAGCTCACGAGTAAGCTCAGGGTATGGGAACACTGTCGCTCTTCCTTTACAAAGGAACCGTAGACGTTCCACCTGATACATCAGCTGGCACTGCATCTCTGTCGGCCGCTCGATAACCAGGATCAGCGGACACTTGCACTTGCTAGTGCGTGGGGTCAGCACATGCTTGGCATACATAGACACGATGGCATCCTCCGTGTGTGGATCAAGCTGTACTTCCTCGGGCACTAAGATCAGAGGGTCGACGTTGCTTGCCGCCAGCTTGAGCAGCCCCTGCCAATCATCACGAAGCACATCAGTGAGATAGTACTTGACCTCCTCCAAGTAAATCGCAAGATTAGGAAATGGCTCGCCCCCAGCACGCCGTTTCATTTCAGGCACGGTGTGTCGCAAGAGGGGCGGACCTGAGCTTACCTATACGGTGCAACCAACTTCTGAGACGCCAGCTTGCACAAGAGCTACAACAAGCTCACTCTACATGCTGAAACCCCGAAAGCATGTCTTTTCTCCGGCCGTCTATCCGACACTAAGCCCAGAAACCTCAAGCCTCAAGTATTCAACACCCTCAGAGTCTTCTTCTGAGGCTCTAGAGGGTCTCGAGCCTCAACACACACGGACACCATAGAGGGCTTAAGTAGTTCCTTATTATAATCATATTATAATGGGCCCAAAACCCTGTACTAATTATTTACGGCCCCTATATTAGGCAATTCGGATGAGCATGGGATCAGTTAGGATTCTGCTACAAACTTCCAGTGTCCTTACCCAAGATTCTCTACGGACAAACATCTGAATCCTAAGGTCTCCAGCCGCAGACACGGTTTAGGGTTTAGGGTGTTTTAGAGTTTAGGGATTAAGCGCTTGCTCCAAAAAGGGCTTTGCTGTGACTCCGTCACTTAGGGCTGTGCTTCCGCAGAGGGGCACCTCGATAGTCGCAATGCGCAAACCTACAGTCCAAAGGAAGCGGCTTACATATACCAGTGCCAGAAAATGCCATAGCTGTGACATAGAATGTTATGATGCGCTACGATATACCATAATGTACTGTAATACACCATGATATCATATGCCATAACATACCATCCTATTGCAGGCTATTTTGACAAGCACCCTTCATGGATTCAGTTCCTATAGAGACCCACATCTTCCCACCCTGCGCCTGCATCTGAAGGTTCCGATATTGGGTGGCGCTCACGCTGGGGCCTGGCTAGGTCGGAGATGCAACGTAGGCCTTAATAATTAGAATAGGGCTTTGGGGCCCACTATACTGTAAATATAATCGGGAACCCCCAAAATAGCATAGGTAATTATTAAGGCCCCTACATTACCCACGACTGGTTCGTCGGCAGCAGGCAACGAAATGCTTTCAGTAGCTGGACTTAGGTTTGGGGGCACATCGACCTGCGCTCCTTCGAATGGAGGGGGATGACATGTCTATGCGTTGAAGCCATGTTTGCAGAACACACTGAGTTTCCACGACCATCTTAAGCCAGAAATGCCTGTCGCCCGAAGCTGCGAAATCCTGACTGGCATCCTCATCTCCCCGAAACACCAAAGTCCGATCCTCTTCTCCCCGCACCGCTGCCCCCTAAAACACTAAACCCAGACTCCAAGCCACAACCTTGTGCCCTTCGAAAACCCTACGCTGCAAAAGCTCTGGCCTCTTCCTTCGGGTGCCTTGCACAGCTGCAGCAACATTACTAGGCTTTAGGTTCAGGCAGTACGTGTAGTGCTCAGGATAGGGTTGAAGGCATAGTCCGGCCTGATTCACCATTATCTAGGGATGTTGGAAGGTCAAACAAAACTAATTGGTCCGAAGCCCCTTCTGTAGGGATTCGACAAGAGTCTTTGATTTAGGAAGCATGTCTGGAGGGCGTTGTTGTCAACCAACGGATGCAGGGAAAGTAGCTCTTTTGAGCCAAGCTTCGTGGCATGAAACAATTCAACAGGAACCTGATTTGGTGCTCTTGCGAAGGAGGCACCCTTACAATGTAGTATCGACGAGGAACGGGGATGCTGCGGTCAAAATCTTAGCGATTCCCCTTCCGGCTCGTCTGTTCCTCGGTTGGATAGTTCTCTTAGCTAGGACTCTTTCGGGCCACCAGACGAGTCCGTCACTCTTGCCATCATATGGTTGTCAAAATTAGGTCCCTTTTTTGGGCACCCTAAATAATAGGTGCCCCAAACAGGGACCACTACTTTGACAACCACCCATATACACGATGGGCCCTAGTTGGGAGAGCCTTGTTGGCACAGCGAAGATCATGCCATAGTCCGGAGCGACTTAAAATGATAGAAAACCCAGACGACGAAGATTCTGGCACTGTTCGGATGCAGTTATTTGAACCCCTCGGCTACATCCCACAAACTCAACGCCACGCCACAACACACGTCTACCTAGTGCACTGTGATGACTCAGAACAATGGGAAGAAAACCCCGCCCACACTCAGACAAGGCTAACTACAGCTATTGAAAGACTGCGAAAACCTTTCACAGCCCCAAAGAAGCACGTTCCAAAACCGGAAACCTCAAATTCCGCATCGGCAGACCCGCCCAAGCTCTACCCGACGGCTTATTGCTTGGGGCTCCTGTGGTTTAATCAAGGTTTAGCCGGGTCCCCAAACAATCCCTGAATCCGAAACCGCAACTTTCTTAATGGGGTTATTGGTCATTATACCCAAGTTAGTGTTAATATTGAAAAAACTGACTTTGAACACAAATACTTGTTGCTTTATTTCTTTTTGATCCAGGTAGTTTTGGCAGAGACTAGGTTTGTTGGATGTGAGTTTAGAGAAGATGAAAACTGTGAATGGGGGAGCTTCATTTTTTAATACGGTCTCGGGGTCTGCGCAAATAGAACTAAAAGGATCTATATGCTATACGGTTCTGTAAACAACTTGTGAAGCCCGCGTCTTGTCCCGGCCTTTGGCCCAGAACGTCGAAGCTGTGCGTTTTCGGACTGGCAAGATTTGAATTTGAGGTCTCGAGGTTCGGAATTATCTTGCGAGCGGGCACACGCAAGTGCACTGTGTTATGCTCGGCTATGGCAACATCAAAGCTGATGGGGCCGGGATGAAAGCTGCAGGGACCCCAAAGAAGCTGCTGTAATAATAGGGAATCCTACAAAGGAAGGCTCTTCAGTGCTTAGGGGTCGGTACTCGAGCAGAGATGAATAGGTTTCCCACACGTAGTTGCTTAGGGCTTGTAAGTTTGAAGGAGTTCGGAACCTGTATTTCGCCTGGGCGAAGTCACTCGAGATATGGGAGGATTTCTTACAAGGTTTATACCTTAAACCCTAAAATCAAAAGCTACGCAGCCATTTCTGTGCCTGACGCAACAACAATCGCCCGATCACGGCCTCTAAACACCCTACGCCCTAAATGCTTCCAAAGAGAGAACCTGAAAGCAAGCAAGACTCCACAGTAGCGTAAACCCTGCATGCTGGCCGGAGCTTTGGATGTTGAGACCTTAAAGGAGGGTTTAGGGGTTAGGGTTTAGGGGTTTAGGGTTTAGGGATTTCGGGATTTAGGGTTTAGGGATTTAAATGCGGCCGCTGCAGAATGCAAAACACGACTTGATTCCCGAACCCATGCCAATAGCTTTCAAGTTGGCATACGTACCAGCATTTCGGGGTTATCCCGCTCCCAGCAACCACGCTCATGGTGCTTTCGGGGGTGCGGTAAGTGGCCTGAAGCTGCTTGAGCATGTAGTTCAACTGCTGGGCATTTTCGTTTAGCCGGTCTCCCTGATGAGGATGCATTGCCTCGATCCATGGCATGCGAAACTCGGCTGGTTCACACTGGGCTGTTCTTCCGGATGAAACATTTAGGCTTCGGTTTCGGATTCGATTTCCACGTCAGGGCTCGGATTAAACCTCTTCATCTCGGAGCCAAATGGGACTTCCGGGTCGTGGAGCCCGAGACACAATGAAACTGCTACCTGGAGCCCAGAAATCCGGGCTCTGTCCTAGGCGTTGTCAGAAGGCCCTGCAGGGTTAGACAGGGGGTTCGGGAATCGAGTTTTTAGGTATGTTTTTAGGTATATAACATATATGTTAAAGTGTAATTTGCAGGGAGTACAATAGGACACAATTACCAACTAGTCAAACCCCGCTATTGAACCCAAACCATCATATTAGCATTCAGTCCTAGGTGTCGAAAGCCCTATAAGATTCATGATTCATGCATAGGATATTGGCGTTGTAGTCCCGTAGCAAATAATGCTTCAAGGCGTTGGGTGCAAAGGAGTGTAGGGTGTTCAGGATCTTGGTGCCTTACACTGAAGGGCTGGGCATGGGCTTTGAGGTTTGGTGTCTGGGGGCCCAGGGCTGTTTGGGCTTTTCGGGGGGCTAGAGTGTTCGGGTTTGCTCCAAGCTTGCAGGGATTAGGGGCTTGAGACATGTATGCCAGAAATCTTTTCTCCTACCTCCACGAACGCAATCTTGTAGCGCAACTGCTCTGCATGGCAGGTTTCCGTGGTTCCCGTAACCTAGATTGAGGCTGAAAGAACACTAGTGGATGCTTAGTCCCAAGATGGGGTATCCTCACCGATCGCAGATGGTGGTTGACATCGGACCGCAACCAGTGACTGGTAAGCGGTGGGGGTCATGCCCACATCGAAGTAAGGACATTTTCTGACTCATTCAATGCGTCCAAGCATAGTCAAGCTGTCGTGGCTCGCAACGGGCCGACGTCAACTTCAATGATGCTTGACAACTACCGGCGGTGTCTTCCAAACTGCCTGCCGCTTGTAACAAGCTGGAAGCTGCCATGCATAAGTCCGAGGGCTACTGAGCTTCGAGATCCTGGCCGTAACCCCACCTAGGACCTAGAAGCCTGTTCCAAGCCTTGTGGTCCTGCATCACCCGATAACCCCTTGAACCCAAAATCCGAACATGCCATGTAGCCTGAAGATGGGGCAGAGATGGGCTGAGGATCAAATCATGACCAAAGTCTGGAGCAAGAGTTTAGAAGCACAAGTTCAAGGTGTAGGGTCCGAAGCTTAAGGGGATGTTCGGCCGCACACCCTGTCAAGCGTAAACCATTAACTGTACCTGTAGCCCAAAGACCGAACCAATTCGATGTTCTTTATTCTAGTTTCCTTATCTTGTATACCCTACCAGGGAGCCCGGACTTCGCATACCGGGAAAGTGCAAAGATTGATTATGTGACACCCGTAGACCCCAAACCTTTTAATCCTCAGATCTACAAGCCCTGACACCTCAATCCTGAACGCCACCTCTCTAACACGCCAGGTCTCTAAGTTGGAGGTGAATGTCGGATCTTAGGCTGGGGAAAGAAGCTATTCAGCTAGTCCCACAAGCAATTTTGCTCTCCCCCCACATGTGCAGTGGCTATGAGGTCTTGGGCACATGGACGTCGTGGGAATTTGCAGCCGTGTTGGAGGTAAACCCTTCAAACTACATAATGTGCATGTGGGCTCTGGCATGGGGAGCTTGAGGCGTAACCTGCACGCCCGAACACCTAAACCAAAAAACCATGAACTACCAACCTTAAGGCTAAGGGATGTTTGGGGTGTAGACCCCCTCCCCCCCAAACCTTAAACTCGAATCCTTAACATTCTACCCCACCCCCGCCGCCTTTCCCCCAAAACCCAAAACCCGAAACCCTAAACCCTAAACTCTAAACCCTAAACCCTGAACTCTAAACCCTAAACCCTAAACTCTAAACCCTAAACCCTAAACCCTAAACCCCCCCCTCATTCCGCCTCCGCGGGCCGCTCTGTAAAGCCTTCGCCCTCCTCTGCTCTGCTCGGAGCTTCGGATTTTAGGAGACAGCGAGGCATCCGGGAAAGGGGGTTGGGGGTTCAGGGTTTAGGGTTTAGGGTTTAGGGTTTAGGGTTTAGGGTTTAGGGTTTAGGGTGGGGCTTAGGACTGCAGGGTTTGAGGGGTTGGGGGTTTTTCGTGCCAAAATCCAAAAGAAGAAGGCCGAGCGGTTTAGGGTTTAGGGTTTAGCTATTCCTTGACCCCGAATGCTGCCAAGCTACCAACACATTAGATGCGGCCGAACAGCCTGTGCAGCGTTGTCTAACGCAACCGATTATCCGGGCTGCTTGCTTGTTGCATTGTGGACAGGCAACCCGAGCCATGAAGCAACATCCAGCCCGGATTCTCCAGCGCTGACATTGTGCTGTTTCTTTGTATCTGCATGTGATCTGGCAGGGCTGACCTTGCGGTCTCGCCTGTTCAATTTTCAAGCCTGATGACCATCTTGTCGACACACGGCAGCAACCACATAATGACGAGAACGGTATGGCGTGCTCAGTGCTGAGCAATTTCTCCTGTCGTGACTGAGAATGAACTCTCGCGGCTGCAAGTCTCGCGTCAAGACAGCAGAGGAAGTGCAGAAGCCCTGCATTCTTGGACACGGAACTTAGCATTTCACTCCTTTGATTCCTTCTGCCTTTCGGTTGGGGCGCTTCTGTTGGAGTACAGCTGTGCAGTATGCTTTCGGAAGCGGTGGCTGTCGCAGACATACAGGGTTCCTGTAAGGGTTCCTGGAAGTGTCACTAGAAGGATTACTGCAAAGGTTACTATACAGGAATTCCATCTGCGGTATTCAATCCCACAATCAGCATCGGGAGGACTTCAGCTTGCAGAATTCTCGACAAGGAGCGATGGGCTGCGTCCTAAAAGACTTTGAGCCACAAATCCTGAAGGTCTAAAGTCAAAACCCTGAACCCTGAGTTGAAGCCCTAAAGCAATGCAAAAACCGAAACTCCTAAACCTTAGAGCCTCATCTACAGACCCTGGCCCAGATGTCCAAGAGGCAGTCCTGCTTTACAGTACACCAAAACATCAAACCTAAACTTTCTGGGCTCTAAACCCCAAAACCCCAAACATCCAAACCCATGCACCTAACCAAAAACCCGCATACCCCCCAAGCTCGTAATCATGAAATCCCACAGTGACTCAACACCCTACACCAAATCCTAAGCCTAAGCTCCACCCAAAGCCCCGAAGCCCAAGATCCTAAAAGCCCAAGATCCTAAAAGCGCAAGATCCTAAACCGCTTCTGGGTGGACCCTCCGGGAGGTCCTTCAGCGACATTCGCATGCGCTGCAGCTGGCGGTTCAGGCGCTGGTTCTCCTGGCTGGAATACGGACTTCAGTTCCATAATCGCTTTCTTCACAAGAGTTGGTATTGTGGTTGATTAACGCCAGTGTCATGATTGCTGTCGCCAGTAGTGTTGTCCTGCTATTGTCAGAACCATGACCTTATTATCACTGTTGATATCTATCGATCTATCCATCGATCTATACAGATCTGTACTGTAATGTATGTAATGCCATGCGATGAAATGGAAAGGAATGGAATCGAAGGGAATGGAATGGAGTGCTCTGTTGTGAAAACACCAGCAAGAGCTGCAGCAGTAATTTCCTGTCGATCGCATCAATGATCGTCGCGGCGTTTGTGACAGTCAGACAGACAACAGTATTTCCATAATGCCAGAGTTTTCCAAGCCGCTGGATCAAAATGCTGGTCATCAGTTCTTAGAGGTCCTCTGTTGCAGCCTCTTCAGCAAGCATATCCAAATTCAGAACGGTCTCATGCCATCTCTCCGGGAGAACAAAGGAAAACCAAGAACCGTACTCCCAAGACCTCAACAGCAAGAGGCATAGGGTTTACGGTTTTGGCTGTTTGAGGTTTGGGGACCGTAGAAGGTTGTGGGGCCCCGCCTGTCTGGCTTCGTACACTTCCATGGATAGATCCTGTCGGCGACATCGGGGAACGAAGTCAAACAGGCTTTTGACTACAGAACCTACAAAAGCATCCACAATAATCTTTAAGCAAAACACGAGGCCCTAAACCGTAGGAGTTGCTGCGCGTGTGAGGACCCAGAGTCACCCTACAACACCGTTGGCCTTGTGCTCTTGTTCTGCTGGAAGCAAACTTCTTGCAGGACCACAAAAAAGGTCCCCTGCATCGAATTGTCAGGCACCCTTCACCTGCAAACCCCCAGACTGAAACCTCAACACCCTGAACCCTCAACCATCAACCCATAGATCCTAAACTCAAGAAACGCAAAACTAGGCATGCGGGCCAAAGATGCGAGCGGAGACAGAGCCTGAGCCGTACTTCCCTCCAAATCTCCAAATACGCATGAAGCAGAAGTGTGGAAAAGGTGAAAAGATAGCCAACCCTATCAAAAAACAAGGGAGGCTTGTGCTTCAGTTCACAAAGCGTCAAGGGGTGTAGTTGGGATTCGGTCCATGACCGAGTCTTAGGCTTCCTTCTGGCATTATTCGGCAAGGACGGGCCCAGCACCTCCACTCGCTGAATTTGCGCCGTCTGCGCCTGGCGTGCGAAGCTTTCCCGGCTTTCAAACCGAACCTCCAGCAACTGGGTTCTTGTTAAGGAACTTAATTTAAGTTACCATAATAGGGATCTATCGTAAATAATAGGGTTTCCTTATTATGGTAACTTAAATTAAGTTCCTTAACAAGAACCCAGGCAAGTCTTCGTATCCTCATGACCCGAACACCAGAAATTCAGCTGTTGCGGTCCCTAGAGCCCACAGCAAGCGGTCTACTCGGAAGCTAGGGAATTCCTCTCAGCACACGCACTCCCTGTTAAGCCCTTAGAAACGCACCCCGAATGTAACGAGGTTCATAAGCAAACTCCATGAAGCAGAACCCGAGTGGGAGGCCCATCCTGCGTGATCGTCTCGCAGCAGGCACGGATCAGGGATGTTCCCATCCTTCCCTGGGCGTTGAAACGAAAACCAAGACTTGGGAATTTCAAAAAAAAAAAAAGGAAGGGACCCAAAGCAGAACTCTGGTTTTTCAGCACCCTCAATACATACACTACAACAAACACAAGATCGCAACACTGCACCCGATGAAAGGCGGAGCTCAAGAGAGACCATGAACCCGAGAGCAACTGACTGGAGGGTTTCTCACCATACTCTAAAATACTGGGTAGCTCATATACTGAAAATCAAGATCCTACTGTTTAGCTACACTAAGTAGAAACTGCGATCGCGTTGCTGCTCGCTGTCGCTCAAGAGGATTGCCTTGGATCCTCGTCCCAAAGCAGTCGCTGTCGGCACCCGGAAGCATTTAAATGTATCAAAGCGTATGACGAATGCCGCCAACAAATCCAAGTCAGTCCACGATGAAGCCCCCGGACAGGAAGCCGGTGGGCGAGCATCATGAGCATCACTGGGGCCCAACCCTAGCCGGGAAGCGAGCATCAGGAGCATCATTGGGGGCCCGCTTCCCCATTTAACGGCAGTCTGAAACACTACCTTTTAACACCGACGACGGACCAGTTTGCCCACCAGCTTCCGGTGGGGTCTGGCCGCTAAAGATGCCCTTGCTGCAACCATGATTGATTAGAAACTCAGGGGCGCGCTGGCTAGCTGTCATGATTGAGTTCTGGAAATCTGTTTTTTTTTGTAAGTTTGTATGAAGTTAACTAGACAAGAATCGTAAGGACAATGCGGGACTCCTTTAACGTTGGGATGTTCAAGTTTTTGGTATGTCGAATTGTAACTTTGCTGTTGGGCCGCACGTTTTGGAATCAGTAAACCCCCTAAACCCCTGCACCCCTAAAACCCTAAACCCCTAGACCCAAAACCCCTAAACCGCGTGGAACTATCAGCCAGTGCCTCGGAAATGACACTGTGAGTGCGTGTCTAGAGTTTACGGAGTTTCATGCTCTTCGGGGTGGCCTGGCGACACCCAAAGCCGCCTTGCCTTGGTTTCAGCCTCTAACGCTTGAAGCCACGCGAAGGATGGTTGGCAATGTAACTGGTAAGCGTCGACAGTCTAGAAAAAACGATTCCTACACACACTTTCGCATAAGCTTGAACCTTTGCCGGGTCCCTTCAATCTTCAGCCACGAAGCCTGGACTGGTAACCTAGGCAGTGCAAGATTTGGGAAAAGGGCTGCTACGATATGATAACTACTATTGCTTCGCAAAACAGAGATGAAGGAATGATAGCAGGCAGCCCATTTTTCCTGAACTAAACTCCATACCTTAAAACCTATATACACCTGAAAAAAGCTCTGATCGCCAACAGCCTAAAGCCACAAGCCCCTTGGATCCTGATAGCTCCCAGAAGCTAAACTCTTAGTCCCTAAAGCCTCATCCGACCCTCTGGTCACTCAAAACGCCCGGACCCGAATCTCCATGAACTGGGCCCCAGGCGACGAGGGAGAGAGCCCCTGGATTACCTCCACATGGGTTTGGGGTGGGTTGAGGGCTTCATGGAAGCCTCCAAAAAGAAACGAGCTTTCGAATCCAGCGGCCTTGACAAGTAGAGTAGGATTTCGGTGTGTATCATGATATAGTTGTATAGGGATAAGTGAAGCGTCCCCAAAGAAGCTCAATCTACCTGCATGAATAGAGCATTTTAGAGTCTTCACTAGAAGGAACTAAGCAAGCTTTCCATCTGGAAAAATGTAGAAAGCCCCAGTGAACAGTCTTTCTTGGCTTTAGACGTGTTCCGGATGCCAGGACTTTAACACCCCAATAGAGCAGAAACCTCAGAATGCCCTAAAAAGAGTAAACCCACAAAGCACGGTGAGCGATGAACCGGAAGCAGCTTGCCAGAATAAGCGTAAGCTTGTTGCACGCTTAGGACACCACCAAATCCCACCAAATCCGACATGGAGTTTGGGCTCAGGGCTTAGGTTTAGGGTTGAGGGGCTGCGGAATGCTGCCCTGAACCCTGCCTACACCTGAAATCCTGAAACACCCTGAACCGGAACTCTCCAATCTCTGAAAACTGAACCTTGCAGCCTCATGTGCCCTGCAATTTAGCTTACGCTGCAACCTAAATGGTAGGCTCCTTACTATAGGACCCCTGAGCTTGAAAAAGCTCGCCAAAGAAAATCCGGGAAGCCACCTTCGACGCAGTTGACAGTGGGGCGGGCCGGCGTTCCTGCTCAAAGGTTAGGCTTGGGCTTACGGCTCAGGGTTTAATGTTCTTCACGAGTTTGTTAGTAGTCTAGAGTACTGTGAAGATTTTACTTGGATTTTTCGTTGCTTCGACGTTGTGGCAGGGGCATCGACGGTGTGCCGACAAGTACTCGCAGCTTCCTTCTTACTCATCTGGCGCCAAGCCCCTACGATCCCACGAGACTCTTTAGACTCAAGACCTTGTGACACCTCCATTCATCCCGGAACCCCTCAAACCCCAAGCCATGCCGGAGGTACTCATCCAACTGTCTGACCGAGACTGCACCAGGCCGTTCCGAAGCCGCGAGAAAGCCGCGAGGAATCGCAAACGGACGTAATGGCAAGTCCCTGGACTCACTGGCCTGAAAAGTGCCTAGGGGGGCTCGCTGAATTCATGTATATGGGATCTGCCGAGAATTAGGCTAGCCAAATACAGAACCGGTATAGTCGATCAGCTTTACAGCAAGTTGCAATGTAGCGGTGGTTCACTGAGATGCCAGGCATCTGCAAGCCCTACTCCCAAAGTCCAAACCCAAGGCCCTATCCGCTGGGTCAAGACATGTACCACGTAATAAATGCTTTGCCTAACTGCTGGCTTGGTGTTTCGGGCTGAGCTGTGTTCTGACACAGGATCTATGATGCTCTCAAGTTCGTGGTCCACGTGTGGTCATGAAAAATGTCGCACTCTGGCAGCTGCCTGCAAGCTGACTTCTGCAGAAGCCACGGCTAGCGATCGGGCGGCACATTCTCAGCCCCTTTGCCCATGTCCCAGAACTTGCTTTCAAAAGCCCACACAAGTTTCTAGCCCTTTGCTTTGTTGGAAGGGCTTCCTTTACCAGCGTGTAAAGTCAAGCCGTACGGATTGCCCGACAGTCCCAACTGCAGAATCTTAGAAAGAAAAATGAAAACACCATCAGAACTGTCGTTTTGGGATAAGGGTCTAGGGTGTAGGGTCATAGTGGCAATGCCAACTTGGGCATACCTGGCAAAATTCCACTACCGAGGAAAAACTGCTAAGACAGCAGTGTTAGCTGCATCGTCGACATAGAACAACACTGACAAGCTTTGCGGATATTCTTCTGCTATCAACGCCAACAATGCTGATAAACGAGTTCAACGCTGTTATGTTATGTTATCTGTTGAGATTTCAGGCTGGAATAGTCGAAAGATCAGGTCACTGAAAAGACTGCCCTCTGAAAAAGCCTCTAAGCCAGAACCCTGCGCCCTACGCCCCAAACCCTTCAGTGCTAGGTCTTACAAAACAACTTACCCTAAGCACGGCTCTAGGCCTATTGTCGTTGAGGCTGTAGAGTACACTATCAGCCCTATAGGGCTTTTCAGGATTCAGGGTTTGGGCTTTGCTCGGTGTAGACTGGAGGGGTTCTTGGATTAGGTGATCAGGTTTTTCTCTGAATGGCGAATACAAAGGCCGAAACAACAGGCTAGTTCTGTACTTCAACATGGAACCATTTCTTAAAGACCTTGTACGAAGGAAACTTTCAAAAAGATCGAGCGCCCTCAAAGCAAACCTAACCCTACATGTGAGAGCCTCACCGTCTACGCCGAGAAAGGCACAAGGTGCCATTGTCTTAGCTGCCCGAAACTAGCCTAGCCCATGACGCTAGAAGGGAAGCATAAGACACAACAGGTCTGCAAACTTGAGTTCGTGGTTTCGGGCTAAAGTCTGAAAGCTCGCAGAACGGCTTGTTCTTCTTCACACATGCGGCGTATGCTCGGTCGGAAGTCGTTGATCTCGAACGAGCCTCCACGAAAAAAGCTTTTAAGGCGCGTATCTGTTTTGTTCAGTCACAGTCAGTCACATGATTGTATTGACACCACCATGCAGCAGTTGGAGGTGTGTCCAAGTTCGTGGGTGGCCGGCGGGCGCACTTGAGAGTTCGGGTACGGCATCACCTTGCACAAAACTTGCAAGCAGCACCCGAATGGGGGGACGACAAGACACTGATACTTGACGGCTTTAGGTGAAAATACTGGACGAATGTAGGGGCCTGAAAAAGTCTTAGACACTTCCTGAGGGCTCCTTAGTAAGATTACACTTTAGTATACCCTCGACCCCGATTAGAGCCACGAAGGCCCCATAATATGAATCCTAAAGGAAAGGCCTCGTGTAGCCGCCGCCGAGCTTGAGCAACTCTTCGTGCTGACCCTCCTCTATGATCTGACCTGCTTGCAGTATTGGGCGGTTGGGGCTATGGGATTTACGGGTTTGAACTTTTCGGCTTAGGTGGTTTAGCGCTTTAGGATTTTGGGGGTTTCAGGCTTTTTGGTGTTCGGGGGCGTTTAGGTGCCTAGCTGTGGAGATGCTTGTCGCTCAAAATCTCTATGTAGTCTCTTTCGAGCGGTTTGCGACGTCTTTCTCAAATGCTCTAGTGCCTTTCGCGAGGGTTTGCTCGGGTTTCTTAAATACTCTAGTCCCTTTCGAGCGGTTGAGTGGTTTGCACCTGTTTCGCAAATACTCTAGTACCTTTTGAGCGGTTTGGCTCATGCCATAAGGTTTAAGGCCAAGGCTTCAAGGCTGAATTAGGGTTGAACCCTTTACCCTAGACTGAAAGGTTTCGGCTATGGAGTTCGGACTCAGAACTGAAACACTGCAGCAGCCTTAGATGTTTCATTTTCCCGAGAACCCCGTTGCTTGATTCCATCTTGCGATCGCTCTTTCAGGTGACGGCCAGGATTTACAGGTTCATGAAGGCTTCGGGCCGTTAGGGTCTTGGGCGAGGGTTTAAAATTCATGGTTTAAGGTCATCTCGCGGGTCTACTCTGAGGACATATCGGCTACAAGGCTGTAAGGGCATGTTATTACTATATTGAAAACCCCAAAAAATCTTATTATTACGGACCACAAGCCCAAAAGCGCAAAACATGGTGCCGTCGTCTTTTTTTCTGAAGGTTCTTCTGCCCAACACCGATACTGCACGTAGATCTGTGTCCAAAGCCCCCTTCCTCTTCTGTTATAATTACACCCGAGCTCTGAAAACCCAAAAACTCAAAACCCTAAACCCTGAACCCCAAAAGTCGACCCATCCTGTGTCCATCACGACGATCTTGTCCGCACGCTGGACCATCGACAGGCGAAGATCGTGGGCGACGATCTTGGAGGCCAGGCAGGGGGTTCGAGGCTTCAGGTGGCAGGGATCTAGGATCCAGGCTACAGAGTTCAAAGCTCGCAAAGCCCTAGTATGCAGCGAGTATAGAACATGTCAATGATATCCTTCCCCGACTCGAAAAAGCCATCCACAACGCAGCCCAAGAATACTGTAGGAGCCTTAATAACTAGAACAGGGCTTGGGCGGTATAGTACACTAGAATTACAATAAGGAACTCCCAAAACCCTATTCTTATTCTTGTTCTAATTCTTACTTTAATATTGATATTAATATTAATATATTAATATTAATATTAGTATTAATATTAATATTAATATTAGTATTAATATTAATATTAATATTAATATTAATATTAATATTAATATTAATATTAATATTAATATATTATTATTATTATATTATTATTATTACTATTATTACTATTACTATTATTACTATTATTATTATTATTATTATTATTATTAGTAGTAGTAGTAGTAATACCATTAGTAGTATTACTATGATTCTTATTATCAAGGCCTCTACACTACACGGAAAGGGAAAAAGAACGAAGCCCCTGGCGATCACCGTCCGGTGCACGCCGCGGCTTTCGGACCATTGGGCCTGGTCGGGATGAATCTCAAGTCATTGTGGTTTAGGGTTTAGGGTTTGGGGGCTTTGGGGTTTGAGGGTTTAGGGTTTGTGGGTTTTAAGGTTTAGGGTTTTGTGGGTTTAAGGTTTTTTATAGTATAGTTAGAATAAGGAACTCCCAAAGTAGTATAGGAAATGATTAGGGTTCAGGGCTGTAGGGGTTGAGGGGCTTTGTGGGTTTGGGGTTTGGGGGCACTGTATATAAGACTCCTTGGCCCTAAACTCTCCCAGCTCTTCGTCTGGTCCTGTCTTTTCTGCCTTTCGCTCTCCCTTTCCCTTCGGAGGGGGGCCATTAGCAGCCGATTTTAACCATCAGCTTGACTCCCCAGACTCCCGAAACCCTGCACCCTGCGAGACCTTCCTCCCCTTTAAAGAGGAGTTTCATGCAAAGGGAGGCCTGGGGTAAGCCTGTAGGTGCCGTCTTCATGGTGTGACAGAGATTTTTGTCAAAGCCTACGCTCTCAACTCTGACCTGAACCCGCCTTGGACCACCATTCTTCATCCCGGAAAACAAGCCTCCCCAATCAGAACGGTGCTTTGGGACAGATTGTATAACAACTACAGTTATGCAGACCTCTGTAGAAGAGTGTCCATAAGGAGGCTGATGTCGGTTGGAACCTTCACCAAGAGTTTCAGGCCGGGACAGACTCAGGGCCGAGGGCACACTTCGTGCATCGGCTGCTATCGGGGCCCCTGCTGGGTGTAGGAATTTAACATGGTCAGTGCGGTACGTCACCGTGAAAGATGAGCTACAGGCGGCTCAAAAGCCTAAACCTTGAAACCTGGACACTGAACCGAAAAAACCCTCACTCCTCAACCCCCAAAACCTGAGCCCACTCTTGAAGGAACCCTTCTAGGAACCGAAAAAGATTCCTTTACCTCCCTTTATTTAAGACCCAGTTGAAGGCGGACCTGAGGAGTTGCAGAAGAAACTCTAAACTGCCCTAAACCCTAATTACCCCCTCGGCCCTAAACCCCTCAACCCTACACCCTGAAACCACAAATGACCACGAGCCTGCTCGAGAGCTCTTGACACCTCCGCGGAGCTCGCCGCATCCAAGGCGGAGGTTGGCTCATCCAGAAGAAGCACCTGAAAAGCACTGCCAGAGCGTTTTAGGGTGTGGAGTTGGGGTTTAAGCTCCTTAAGATGCGCTTCATTGTTTTGAATCGGGCTTTGGGACTACTATATCTAAACGTGGACTACAAGGCGACATTGGTACCAATATAGCTTTCGACGGAACAACAAGTATGCAGAAGCCAGAAAAGTCGAAACATCATACTCCTCATGCCCGCGAGGTAAAGCACAGGGAATCCGAGGACCAATCATCGTACTTATTTAGTTGCTCAGACCCCTCTAAACCCAAAGCCCTACCCCCAAAACTCTAAACCCCAAAATCCTAAACCTGAATCTAAACACCAAAATCCTATATAAACCTTCAAGCCGAAACCCAGAAACCCATTCTACATATAGAACTTATCGGGGCCAGGGGACAGCCGGATCGCGAATGAGCGCCCGGGCAATGGCGATGCGCTGGCGCTGACCTTGAGGGTGTGGGGTTTGTAGAGTCTATACGATTGAGGGCCGTGTCGTGGAAACTTGAGCGAGGGTTGAAGCTCGGGCTTGAGGGCATTAGGCTGCAGCATCGGGAGAAATGCGTCCGCGGGGTAGGATCTGCTCGGTTGCTAATATCCCTCCAGATGGGGCTTTCCTCGCCTTGACGGCACAGGTGTGATGTGATCCGGCAGCCACGGCCACCACCGGACCGAGGTCGGGAGGCACGTCGCGTGGCTTAGGGCGTACGAAATTGGGGTTTAGGATTTTGGGTCTCTGGGTGTTCACTGAACGTCCACCTTCAAGCCTGGCGAGAGACCGAATGAACCTCCCAATGAAAACCCTCAAACTCCCTATCCGAATAAGATCCTCAACCCCAAATCCTGTCCTAAACTTTCACCCCAAACCCTGAACCCCAAAATCCCGCAAAGTCCTATATTCAGCCCTCAACTAGCCTCCCGCGTCTTTAAAGGACCCCCAAACCGAAAACTCTCGAACCTCCCGAGAGGATTTCATCCCAAACCCTAAACTCCCAAATCCCGCAAAGTCCTACATTCAGCCCGAAACTAGCCCCCCGAGTCTTTAAGAGGACCCCGAAACCCGAAACTCCGGAACCTCCCGAGAGGAGCCGGTCGTCAGCACAAATGGTGTCATACCCCTGGCGCTAGGGCTTTTCAAGCAAGTTTCGGCGAGTTTGGACTCTAGCGCTTTAGAAAGCGAAAAAATGCCCAAGGCATCGGATTTGTTTAGGGCTCAGGATTGCAGGTTGTGGATTTCAGACCCAAGGTTTCGAATGAAGAGCTTCTGGAGAAAGGAATGACCCAACTTCAGCTCTAGATACATGCACAGTCAGAGCCCTCATTATGAACCCTAAACCCTCACAGCTCTGCGCCTTGAAGCAACCCCCAAAACCGGAGAACCCCTGAAGAACCACAACTCAGAAAGGGAGAGGGGCCAAAGCCTTCTTTCAACAGCAGTAGAAGCAAACTCATAAACAAGAGGACCGGGGGCAGAATATTCCAAGCTGGCCACAAACATGCAAGCAAAGATACATATGTACACATACATGCAGACGCCCATACGTACATGTCTGAGTCCACACATGACATGCATACATGCATACATGCATGCATACATACATACATAGTTACCCCGATCCCATCCCCTCCTGCGGTAGGGACTCGATGAAGGCCGCAGCGCGGGCGGTCTGGGCAGCTGCTTTGGGATGCACATGGGGGCTTTCCCGAAATTTGGGATCCTTTCAGGGTTTAGGGTGCTACTACAGGCTCTAGGGGTTTAGGGTGCTGGTAAAGGTTTTAGGGTCTCGGCTTTAGGGCTTTAGAACGGGGAGAGTTTCAGGGTTAGGGTTTACTGGCTCCCGGGTTTTGGTAGTTCGGTTTCGGCGGCGAATACTGCTTCAAGTAGGGTATGCCTCAACACACACTCTGCTAGAACCCAGCCAAGCACAACTATTGAACACTCCAACGCCTCTACAGGTGACCCCCATAACAGAAAAAGTCCACCCGAAGCCCCACAGCCTTCAGCTTAGGACTTAGGTCCAGACCTCAGCTGCCTGGAAAAAAGTCCACCCAAAGCCCCACAGCCTTCAGCTTGGGGCTTAGCGCCGGACCTCGGCCGCCTGTCGGACCATCGCATCGGATGCACCGGGAAGGCCCCAGGCGATGTTCTCCTGGAAGCAGTGCCAGAGAACATCTTCCACCCTGCATTCAGAATCAAAATATATATATGTGTATATATAGATATATAGATACATAGATATATAGATACATAGATATATAGATATATAGATATATAATTACAATATATATATATATATATATATCCTGAAAACTGAACCATAACCCAGTTCAACCTTTACCAAAAAAACATGGTTCAGCAGCAATGCTATAGAGTTTTACGGGTTTGGGGAGTAGGCTTTGGGCTTCACGTCAAGACCCTACGCCCTAAACGCAGTTCAAGGCTTAGGGTTTTGGGCTGTCGGCTCTAAGTCTTAAACCCTATAAACCCTAAAATCCTAACCCCTGATGTAGGGCCCCAAAAAAGCGCGTAAGCAAAAATATGGCTAGGGATATCCCATAGAAGCCCGCTCATAGAGAAGCCCAATAAGGTAGAGATATCACCGTAAAATGCTCATGCTTATGTGCTTTTTGGGTCCCTAAGACGCCGGCCTTGATGCTGGCACGGAAAAGCTTGGGCTGCTGGCCTACGGGAAGACGGATGCTTGCTGGTTTGGGGTTCGGGGGTTTAGGGGTTTGGGTTTAGGGGTTTGGCATCATGGTTTCAGCGTTTCGGATTGCCCTTCGGTAGCTTACGGTTTCGGGTCGTGGTAAACTCTACACTTCAGCCAGAGCAAGCAAGACACCTCAACTGGTCGGGCCGCACCATCCCGTCATCAGGATGCACAGAATGCTCGTCGACCGAAGCTCAAAATCCCGAACATTGCAACCCTACATGAGTACAATGTATTTTCTGGGTTTGAGGATTGGGGGCTGCGCGGAATCCGGGGTGCAGATGGTCAACTGCGGCTGTCAGTCGACGAATCAATAAGAGGCCGGCTCGATAACGATGAGAAAGGTGGTGGTGATGGTCCGGCTTGATTACGATGAGAAAGGTGGTGGTGATTGTGAGGATGATGAAGCGAAGGATGCCGACCACCACGAGGATCATGCTGAGGCCGGTGAGAAGGAAGGTGATTGGAAATGCTGATTATCCAAGAGGAACAAACTGACGATAAGATTGACCGAGCGTGGGCGAAGATGACGACGATGGTCAACGGTGGTCTTGAAGACATTGCTGCTGATAACGGTGATGACGCTGGGCATGCTCTTTCTAGCAGGAGCAGAGCTAGCGGCAGCAACTTGTGGCAGTGGCAGTTCTGGCGTCGTGGTAGTACCGGCAACAGCGCCGTGGTGATCGGTAGCGGTAGTGGCTGTCGGGGTAGGAGCAGGAGGAGGCAGAGGACGAGGAACACTTAGCGCGGCAGGAGGATTGGAATCAGCAAGTGCTGCTTGTTGCTTATGTTCTTGCTCTTCGTCGTCACCATGACCACCCCCATCATCATCACCTGCAGACGCCTTCTAACAGCAACAACAACACTGCCGAAGCCTCAGCTCGAAAGTCGATGCCCGAAATCTGCGTCTGAAATCTGCAAAATGGCGTCCCGATACGTGGCCTACCACCCCGAGCTGGTTGCGCAACCAGGCTGGGTCGAGATCTGTAACGTCCACCTGTGAGCGGAAGCTGCATCTGCAACGGGTATGGGTCAGTTTATAGGTCGCAAATATTTTTCGGATCTATACAATGCAGGCGACGCCCATCTCAATTTCCTGCAGCCGTCTATTGCAAATGCCAGGTACTGCACTTCTCTGTTGTGGCGGCTTAGAGAAGGGAACAGTCTCTGAAGATGGTTCTCAGCGTTTAGGATTTCGCATGCAGGGCTTCGGTTTTGCACAAGTTGAAAGAGCTTGAGCTCTCATGAAAATTCGAGGACCCCACAGCCCGTTCCAACTCCTCTTGATCTCCGCTGAGCCCCGCTGGGCCGAACTCGGGGGTTTTTAGCTACGTGTACCCATGGTTGGTGAACTAATATGGGTAATAGGATTGTGGGGTATATCATACTCTACGTATACAAGGACCCCCCCCCCTCAAAAAAAATAAATGATTAATCCAGGTTTTGAAAGCTTAGTGGTAGCCAATGTGAAACCCTGAGCTCGCGCTGAGCTCAACACGCCATCAAATGCGACGGAGCCACTTCCTGCCTGTTGCTGAAGAACAGCACTGTCTCAAGGCTTCCGGTTCGGTGCTGCCCCCATACAGTAGCAGTCTACAGGGCGACTATTAAGGGTGTAGTGTATATATATATATATATATATATATACATGGCTTTAAGGTTTGGTACTGCGCCAGCAAACCTGACTTTGAATTACCGTGCTTTCTGGCTTTCTGCGCAATCAAACCGTCGGCATTTCATGGAACCCTACACGAGACCGCAACTAAGTATATCAGCCATCCAAAAGCACAATCCAGAAGCGCTGAACCCGTAATCCCTGCCCTAAACCCTGAAACTCTCCGACCCTAGACTCCAAGGGCAAAAGGAGGGACCCTTGATAAGGACCCCTAGGTATTTACCCTGAAGAGAGCTAATATATACCCATTATACAGCCCATTATAGGGTAGGGGTCCCCATTAAGGGTCCCTCCTTTTTCCCTCTGATAGACCCGTCACTCGATGACCCGGAAGACTAAACCCTGAGCCTCAGGGGTTAGGGCGCTCGCAACATCTCAAGCCCCGAACACCAGCCTCAAGCTTAACCCCAAATTCACCTACCTGTAACGAACCTGTCAATCCGATATGATACCCTTTAAACGCAACCGTAACTCCTAAACCCGAGACAGCCCAAAACTCCAAATTTGGAGTCCCAGCCAGACACCAGTTAAATTTCTGCCGAATTTTGAGTGTCAGTCAGACAATATGTAAATTTCTGCCGTTTAAGTTTCTGCAGACAAATCCCTCGAAACCACTCTCAACCACCGGCTCCTTGAGGTCGTAGAAGCGTAGGAGCAGGCCAAGGAGGGAGCTCTTTCCTGCCAGGACCCTCGAACCCTAGAAAGGGTTGAGCTTAAGAGGCTCGGGGTTTCAAGTGGTGGTTTTGGGGTTTGGGACACTTCGGGTTAAAGGGTTTCATACGATGGTTGGGGTACTGTAGCTCTTATCGGGTTCTGGGTCTTTTGAACTTTGGCTCAGCTCTTCACTCGGTTGGCAAATTTGATTTGGGATTATGGTCGTCGCCCCTCACATGTAACTCGTTTAGAGCTTTCGTGCTCGACGGACCCTAAGCAGACCGCCAATCAATCCTGAGCTGAGCCAGGTCCACAGAAAGTTCCTTTGGAAGTCCCCATGACAGAGATTTAGGACATGTGGTACAGGGTTTACGGTTCCGGTCGCTTACAGTCAAGACCTCCATGTTGAAGTATCCGAGTGTCGAAGTCGAAGCAAAGTACCCATCATGGAGCGTCCGGGTCACCCTTGGGATAAACCTGACAATCTGTCATCATCTGCCACGCCGGCTGCCAGCCCTAGTTGCGGCTGAGACCAATCTGTTATGTGTAATAAGATTGTATAAACTCATACATTCTGAGGATGGCTGCGTAGCTCCTCATCTTCATGAAGGGAAACTTTGCTAAGGAGGGGTTCCTCATCTAGGGTTTGGAGTCAAACAGCTTCCTTGCCGTTCAAGCTTCCTGTTGTTTTGATACCACTGGTAGCCACTGTTCAGGCCCAGAAAGCCGTTTGAGGGTTAGGCTTGCAGGGGATTCTGTGATTTCCCGGAGCTTGTATGGATTCTGGAGACGGGTTTGTCGCCCTTTGATTTTTCGGGAACGTGCCTCAACTTGCAATCTAATCTGCACAGGGCTGGAAACATGAACATCTAAAGCCCTAAGCCTAAACCCCAACCCTAAGCCCAAACCCTAATTAAACCCTAAACCCTAAAACCCTAAGCCCAAAACCTGAATCTTGCAACGTTTCTCCGGCCTGAGCCGCTAAAGCCAACGAGGGCCGTCGTCTTTCCGGCCGGGCAGTGCAGCGAGAGGTTCGTAAGGATCTGGCCAGGCTTCGATGGTTTAGGGTTTAGGGTTTTAGGGTTTAGGGTTTGGGGTTTTAGGGTTTAGGGTTTAGGGTTCTAGGGTTTTAGGGTTTAGAGTTTAGGGTTGAGGGTCCAGTATCAGGGCATTAATGATTCGAATACGGCCGTCCGGTCCAGGCCCTGAAGAAGGACTCATCAAAAGCCTGCTTCCCTAAACCACGAGCCACTCAACCCTAACCCCTAAGCCCCGTACTTCCGGTCACTACTTGTATCAAGGCGAAGCCCCCACCCTTCAGCCGGAATGCTCGTTTTGAGGCTTCTCGCATTCGACGTTGCCCCATGGTTCACTGGACCCGAAGTAGATCCTTGCAAGTGCGATGACCTCAAGATTCGAAGCACCGCCTCTGGAACTGGAGGGATAGCGGGGGTCTAGCGCTTGAGGGGCTTAGGGCTTTAGGATGGTCTAACTAGGAGTTTAGGGGTTTTGGGGGTGTGGACTTAGGTCCGCCGTTTTAGAGTTTAGGGTTGAGGCAAGGGCTAAGTCTTTCGTTTAAACTCACACCGCAACTACCGAAGCACCGCAATTCTCGAGGCGCCTGGCGCTGCGGCCGGGAGGGATATGCGAAGCAGACGTTCGTGAACCGTAGATCTCCCCGGGCACCTGTCGGGCATACCATAACTACTATGGTGTAGGGTTTAGGGTATAGTACAGGGTTTAGGGTTTAGGGATAAGTACTCTGATTTTGGCCTCTTAGGGTAGCTCAAAGTGTGGGCAAAGGTTTCGGCGCGCGCAAGGTTTGAGCCCTAAGCCTCGAAGCCGTAGAGTTTGGCAGTGTACCCGCATAGAGCCCAGCGCGTGCTGAGAAGGGCCTTGGCCCCAGAACCCATAAGACATGACCCCAATCCCGAAAGCCCGAGAACCTCGAACAATTTCAGCCCTGAAGCCCAAAACCCGAAGCTCTTCTGCGGCTTCAGGACCCTAGGGCCTTACCGTTTAAGGCTTCGGGTTCAGGGTTTTTCGGCTCGGGATCAAGTTTTTCGGTGCTTTGGGGCTCGAAGTCAAGGATGCCTTGATTTTCATGCAATGGGCGAAAAGGCCGAGGTTCAGGATCGGAGCCTTCAACCCTGGATGGAAGCCTGCCAGTCGACGTCCTCTGCGGGTCTTTGCCGCACTCTTTGACGTCGCAAGCCTAAGCCAGAAACATCTTAGGGTTCGAGAATTAGGCTTGCGAGTTGAGGAGAACAAGAAGGTACCGGCCGCCCATAGCTGCAGGATGGTTGGCTTCAGTTGGGTGTCCGAACATGGCGTAGGTTTCGGCTATATAGATTCGTGATCGTCAAAACCCAAACCTACTGAAATCTAGTTGTTGAGCTTGGGGCAGGCATGTGTGGATATACCGATGGATAGGTAGACAGATAGATAGCTAGCTACATCGATAGGTACACAGATAGATTCAGATAGATAGAAACTGAGAGGGAGACACAGCGAGAGAGAAATAGATCGACAGACAGACAGACAGACAGAAAGATGGACAGACAGACAGACAGACAGACAGACAGACAGACAGACAGGCAGCTAGACGGACAGATAGATCGGCGGACAGACAGACAGGCGGACAGGCGGACGGACGAACAAACACTCAGAGATAGATAGACACATGAGGTGAGCCTTGATTCCCGCACGTTTCGGAGGCTAATCCAAATCAACGAATATACATTGATAGAACTAACAACGCAAGGCGGTTGATAATTAGATTAAGGTTTTTGAGATGGCATGATATGACTAATGATTGTTCAGGCCGTGTCCCTGCGGAATTACCATTCAGGCCCAGGTGCAGGGCCACGACGCGCTCTGCAGAGCCCAGTGCATCGTTGCAGGAGGACCACTCCTCAGAATGAGGCTCTGGGGTGTAGAGTTTGGGGCTTAGGGTTTGGGGGGGTGCCGTTAAATTGGCGTGAATATTTCGAGTGTAGTCTCGGTTGTCCAGTATTGTACAGGCCATGAGACGCTATATGCAGACAGGGACTGTGTAAGAATGCCAGTGTTGATGTGAAGCTCCGACACCGAATCCAACTGCGAAACTTTGACAAAGCTGTCTAGTTTGCGAGTGTTGCTAGGCTGAGCTTCCGCTTTGGTGCATCTCACCCTTCAGGATAGAACGTCGACGCGTTTGGCAGCAAATGCGGAAACCACAACCTTCAAGCCTCGGACCCGCTTGGCGATCGAGACTTCATGCAGCAACCATTTTGCATATCGCAGCTCCCAGGGGGCTCAAGAAGGATCCTTTCAGCCTTAGACCCAGAGTTCATGATTGCTATGGTCACAATTTCAAGCTTGACGCATACCTTGCACAGTTTTTGTGACATGGTCGCAGTGCTAGCTGTAGCAGCAGATAGCTACAGACCGACTATTACGTCTTCTCCTTGCCACTCCCTGAACTCTGAACCCTAGGTTTCAGCCCTGCAGCCGAAGCCAGCAGCCCGAACTTCGAAACCCCAAACCCTACACCCCAAACCCAAAGCCCTAGGGTTTAGGGTTAAGGGTTTAGGGCTTAGGGTTTAGAGTTTAGGGTTTAGGGTTCTGGAGCAAACCCGCAACCCCGAACCCCGAACCCCAAGCCCTACACCCCAAACCAAAGCGCTAAACCCCAGACTCTTAAGCCGGGGCGCGATGCCGAGCTCCAAGGCACCTGGGCTGCTGTATTTTGGGGGTCCTTATATAAAGGATCCTAATATTTAGGGTACGATATTGGGGTCCCCTGTTTTCGGAAAGTCCCGAGGCTTTAGAAGCTTTGAGGTTTAGAGCTTTGGCTTTGGAAGCTTAGCAGTTTAGGATTTCGAGAATTGATTAAGTGTAGGCTTTAAGGATACAAACCCTGATAACCCAACTGCGGAGCCTGAATCAGGCCCAGCACCCTCTACACTCTACTCGACCAGCGTTTGGTTTAGAACATCACACACTTGGGTCACTGGGCATGCCTGCACCTGGCTCGGTACCACTCCAAACGCGTTGGAGCTCAAGTTCCAGCATCAATATTCCAATCGCTGCTGTAAGGACTCCTCCGTATCCCAACTTCTAACCCTTAAAGCCTCAACACGAGAAAGTTCCCCATCCAGGCCTAGGAACCATAACACCGTTTCAGGTCTCTGGACTTTGACCAGCAGGGGAATCTCGAAACGTGTATCCCAAAGAGTCCAAAACACTACCCTCCACTCTAAGCTCTTTAAACCTGCAACTAAAAACCCTAGACCCCGAGCCCTAAACGCTAGACCGGCAGACAGACGTAGGACGAACTGTTTGCAGAGATTTGGTCCCACACAACCACAAACAGAGTGTTGCGAAGCCGGTTTCGGTTTCCCTTGCAGAAAGGTGAAAAGCTTCAGGACCTTGCTGAAAGCTTCTTGGAACACAAGCCCTAGGGTCCATGTACTGATATAGCACATACCGCAAAAAGCCCATGTATATACTACATGGGTTTGTGGAGTTTTCCATCGTTGGACAATGGGTGCTTTATGCCGAACTGAGGGTTTCGGCACCTTTTCGGATCGTCTAAGCAAAAACAGACCCGCATAACTCGTGCAGCCACCAAACCCCAAGTGCATGTCCTGGGCCCTAAGCCGTACATCCCTGCCCACAATTCGGAAGACTCGCGCAATTCTCAGGTCATGGCCATCTGCGGCAGTATCCAGGTAAAGCAGGTATGTTGCCAACGCCTGTTCTTGAACGAGGAACGATGCGGCTTCTGGTTCAGAATTCGGGGCTTCGAGGACGAACTGCCGCGGTCTACAAGCTTCCGCGTTTCAAAGACTCGGGGTTAGGGCTTTAGGGTCTCGGGCCTTGGGTTTACAAGGGCTTTCGGGCATTTAGAACTCTCGGGGTGCAGTTGTGGCAGCTGTCACTTCCTGGAGAGAGAAGCTCACACCTTTCGGCACTTCTCCATCATCTTGTACTGTGCAACGTTGTTGAACTGCGCGAGCCGAAGGACGAACAGAAAAGCTACAAACCCAAGATCCTAAAGCAGTGGCTTCTGCCTATATAACTAACTATCCTGGACCGAGACCGTAGGAATTCCGGATCTGAGGTTTGGTTTTGGGAGGGTTTTAGGGTCCAGGGACCTGGGGTTTGCAGCGCTGGGGGCTTTAGGCTTTAAGGCTTTGTGGCGTAATGTTTAAGTCTTCAGTTTAGTTTACGGTTGTATAGTTGTATAGGGTTAGAGTTCGTGCTTAAGGCTAGACAACCATAATAAAGCATTCGTACCCAATCAATTGCAGCTTAAAGCCATACTACTGCTTCTAGCCACACGGGAGGGACTAGGTGTCCTGGCCTCACCCGTCATCTGTCCAGCAAGCACCATGTGGCCGCCAAAGAACAAGGCCCTGTCTAGGATTTATGGCTTAGGTTTATTTGGTATGGGGTTTAGGGTTTATAACACCCTAAACCCTAAACCCTAAGGGTGAGACGCCAAAGCCGCCAGTCTCACTTCACCTGAACCCCTGAAGCCCGAAACCACCTTAACCCCACGGGAGCAGCAGCCGGCTTCGGTTATGATGTGGACAGAAGTCTATGGTTCGGAGATGAAGTGGGGAACCCTACACCCTAAACCTTAAACCCCAAGCCCTGAAAACCCTAAACCCCGTAAACCCTAAACCCTTTAAACCCCAGACCAAGTAAACCCTAAACCCTGTAAACCCTAAACCCTATAAACGCTAAACCCCTCCAGACTGCTTTGTAGAAGGAGGTCTGGACTCCAAGGCCCCAGAGTCCAATGCATTTGGCGCTTTTTGCATTCCTTGGGTTCAAGTGTTAGATGCCGGGGGGTTAAGGTTCAGGATTTACGGTTTATGGCTTGGGATTTTGGTTCACGGGTTCAGGGTTCGTGGAGGTTACCCTGGTGAGGCTTGAGAACATAGAGTTCTGTGTTTGGGTGTTTGCTCACCTGGCGGCTGCGAAACTGACAGCTCGAAACAAAATCCGAAACCAGTAAACTCAGTAAGCTCCCAACCCCAAACTCTAGACTCTAAATACCGGGCTTAAAACCCTAATCCCTAAACGACTTAAAAACACAAACCCTGGATGTAAGCCCCCGAGCCTTCATCCTTAAACTCGTAGACCCGACGTAAACCCCGAGTCCCCTCAGAGACCCCCGCGAGAAGACTTGTAGACAAGTCCGAAAGAAGCCTTACAGCCCCCTGAGCTCTAAAATTGAATTGAAAATTGAACCCTAAATCGTAAACTCAAAACCGTAAGCCCTAAACTCATAATTCCAACCTTCATCTGCAATAGAACTGTTGGATCTTGGTCTCCGCACAGAGCGGAGAGTAGTGCGGGCGTGCCGTTCGCCGCCGCGGAGAAGAGGCCCAGCGCCAGGCCTGTCATTCAGGATCGGGTTTAGGATACAGGAATAAAGCATGACTTTGAAATCCCAACACTCGAAAACTCCTAAACCCTAAGACTCGTTTACCCTAACGGTCCCAACACCCCAAACCTTCATGCCATGAGCCCAGAAATCCCCCCACTCACCTAAGGGCCGAGGCCGACGGCTGCGCAACGGCTAGCCAGCTCTAAATCTGCGAGCTCTTGCGGATGATGGCTGGTGCACGTGCAATGTACAAGAATGTGTTTGTAATATACCATAACTTTGATTTTGATATGTTTTTACTGGACAACATTCGGTTATCATATACCGTGATATACCATAGTATACTATACGTGCTAATCCATGCTAAAACATATGCTATACTACATGGCAACCCTATGCCCTAGCTCATCCCTTCTCCCATCTCCTTGCAAGACTCTTGAGACAGAACCGATCCGACGCCCGGGGGGCCAGAAGGCAAAAGCTTCTAGCCGTACGGCCTCTGGAGCCAACTGCCAAACCTGAAATCCGAATTGCACGGGACCGATAACGAGCGTACCAGGATAATACTGGGGTCAGAAAATGACAGCCAGAGTCAGAGTCTTGAGGACGATGGCCTGTGTTGCTATTTTGATTGTCGGTGCCTCAAAAAGTCATAGGGCCTCACACTATTGTCTCCAAGCTTGCCCTGTATCTTGAAATGCAGCCGAACACCTGAAAGGCCTCAACCGTAAACCCCCTGAGCGCGATGATAAAGTACTAAACCGATCATGCACGCTCTACACCCCTACCCCAAGACCATGGGGATGTTTTGCTCTACTCCAAAGGTTAAGGAATTGAAGCTTAAGGTCTCAAGCTATGCTTTTAGGGTTTTAGGGCCTCCCTTCCGTGCCTCGTTCACGCTGCGTTTCGTCAATGACGACCTCGGTGAGCTGAGACACAGGGAACCCAGAAAGGATACATAAGCAAGGTACCCTTAAACTCTATTTAGGGTTTAGGGTTTAGGGTAACAAGATCGTATCTCGGCGGCGGAGGCTCTGTAAAGATGCTGTAGCGGCTACTAGAGATCAAACCTCCTCAGGTGAATGAAATGCTTTTGAAGTACATGCTTGACCCGAAACCACAAAACCCCAAACCCCAACGCCTACCGCCCCACCTAAGCTCCCGGCATTCCGCTTCCGGAAGAGTCTGCAATGTAGAGCCTGCACATGCGTCGTACGTGAACCCTGTGCCCTAAGAGCTCCAGTTCCCAAGGACCCAGAAGCTTTGAGGTCGTGGTTCGGTTCTGATTCCCGTCCGTATGGGATGAAAAGCTCCCGTTTGCGGAAGCCCTTTGAGCCTCCGATGACCCTAAACCCGAAAACCCTAAAACTCTAAACCCTAAAACCCTAAAACTCGAAACCCTAAACCCTAAAACCCTAAACTCTAATCCCTAAACCCTGAAGAAACCCTAAACCGAGGCACTTTGACTTCCTGTGCCCCGGTCTCTTAGAGGCTTGGTCTCTCCAGGCTGCAGGTCTTCGGGCGTCGTCTGCTCTCTTGGTGGCTGCCGGGCTCCGGTTGTCTACCGTCACGTTAAGCACAGTGTTTTGTGTCTCAAAACATTACTAAACCCTAAGCCCTAAGCTAAACCCTAAATCATACGCCCTTAAGGCTCTAAACTAGATATGGCCTTTTGAGGATTTGGAGTATAGGCTTCGGTGCCAATGAAACTACACGGCCCCCGACTTGAGAGGCTGGAGCCAAAACTCCAAGTGGTTCATAATTGCAATAGAGCTCGTTCGCGGCTTCTTTAAGGGTACCTGTAAGGTTCGGCAAGGCTTTACAAGGGGACCCTGGTGTTTAGAACAGGGTTTTGGGAAAAGATGTGCTATGATCATAGTGCAGAAATGTAAAGAATAGATTTGGTCCTGATTTGGTAATACTTGAGGCATCTATATTATCTTGATCTCCTCCAGCCGAGCCCTGACACGCTCACAGTGCAAATACCAGAAGCCGTCAACAGCTGGATAATTCTTGCAGAAGTTAAGGGCTCAATCGGAAACTAAAGCGCTGCATACCTTCAAACGCTCAAGAACCCGAACCGTCTAACCCTCAACCCTGCACCTTGAATGCTCAATCCCGAACCCCTACATGCGCCCTTGTGAAAATCTATCGAAACCTTCCCAAAACTCCACAAGACCTAAACAGTAAAATCCCTATACATCCCTCACTCAGGTACCGATGCTGATAATAACCCAGGTGGCGGCCTCAGCACACAAAGCCCTCACCGTGCGTAGGAGTGACAAAGCCTCAACAGCGGCGGTGTCTGGCTGTACCCAGAGAGCCATTTCAGGGTGTATGGCTTGGAATTTTGATAAGCTGCCAGCGATAACGGTTTATGTGGGTCTGTGCGCCTACGTAGCTGGAACCTTCAAGCATTCAAAAGCTGTGACAGCCAGAAGGGTGCAGGGTTGAACAAGCTTCACGAAGCAGGCGCCAAGGCACCAGCTATGTACTAGAATTCGGTTTGCGGTTTTGTGGGTTGAGGATTTCGAGGGTTGCAGGCTTCCGCGTCTTAGCAATTTAGTTAGCGCTGGCGGCTGCTGGTGCCCTGACTTTTTGTTGTGCTTATGAGTTTGGGCTTCTTCAGCTTCGACACCCTAAACCCTGAACCCTGAACCCTAAACCCGAAAACCCTCAATCCTGAACCTAAACCCTAAACCCCAAAAGCCCTCAACCTGTGGGTCAGGGCAAGTCTGAGAAAGGCAACCCAGCCTCATTCGCGACCCGGCCCAGCTCTGCCAAGCTGTCCTCAAAATGCAGAGTCATTGCCCCCGGTTGAGGGTTTAAGGCTTAGGGTCTAGAGGGCGTAGAGATTTAGGCTTTCGGGCTTCCAGTCTTTTTCGGTACGGTGGGTATTTTAGGACTTTGCGGCTGGGCCTGAGGCCGGAAAAAACCCAAGCAAGCTTACCAGGCCCCCGCCCTGCCAAAAACGAAGGGTAGAAGCCATGCATGACGCTGTATGCACGAAAAACATGGCAAAAAAATGACTTTGCACTGACAACAATGCAAGTACGTACATGTGCGAAAAACAGCTTAAACGTCTGGGAGCCGAAAAGAAGACAAAGCGGATCCTGTGTCTTTCTTCCCGTGGATCTCGTCACCCTGCCATACCACTCTGAACCTGGCAAAGTACGTCGCTTGCTGGACAATGGAGGGTGGCTGTCCTATAGGACTCTTTGAAGACACTCTGGGCTCGATGGCTCATCATACCGCTGCCCTAAGTCCCTCGACCGAACTTAACTCCAAGCCGGGACCAGAATAAGTTCAGAATAACGTTGAACGGACCTTGGACTGCGCTCTGGGCTGTAAGAATTATGAGGTGCATAGTTTCGTGGGAACTGATGCCTAGTTTGCAAAGGCTCTCAAAAAGCCACTCGTTGAATTGGCTCAAACTGCTCAGGGACCTATGTTCGGCTCACTACCTAGGCGTCCCAACCCTAATCCCCACTGCATACACGCACAACACGGCCTTGAACCACAAAGAATCCGGAACCACCACCTTCTAACAAGCGGAGGTCGCAAAACCAAACGAAGCCAAGGGCACAAGCCCACAGAAGCACCAGCAACACCGCAAGCCGCGAAGAGATCGCGAAGTCAAGGCGAAAAAGCGCCAGGAGGCTGAACAGAGCGAGGGGCTTGGGTCGTGTTTGGGTCCGGAAATTACGTCGGGCCACGCTTCACAATTTCGGGCTAAGGACTCAGGTTCCGGGGTCGGAGCTTGGAAGTCTAGGGTTTAGGGTTTTTTTTAAGCACCTTTTTCCGTCTGCCAGGCTTTAGGGGTTTAGGGCTTTGGGATTTCGAATTTGAGGTGCAGGATTTGATGCTCAGAAACCAATGGCTTTGGGATTTTGGTTTGGGTCTGAAGAGCTTCTACAGATAGACCAAATGAGAACAAAGATAGTCATGCTAGGAACTGCCTACAACCCTTGTCAAAATGATCCTAATAAGCATATGGGTGGTTGTCAAAATTATGGTCCATATTTGGGTCCCTGTTTTGATACGGCAGCCATTATTTAGGGTACCCAAAAAGGGGCCTTAATTTTGACAACCACCCATATTCTGCGAGCCATAGGGAAAAAGACCTAATTCCAAGCTTGATTCTCAACAGGCCCCAAGTGCTGGCCCCGGCGTGTTGGTGCAAAGTGGACTGCCATTCCAGATGTCATTAGGGTTTAGGGGTTAGGGGTCAGGGTTTCGGGGTTTCGGGGTTTAGGGGTTTAGGGGTTTAGGGTTAAAGATTATGCATAAACGCCAGGTGCCGTGTACGTATAGGATGACACGCACGTATCAAGGTTTACTGTTGCTATTGGATTAGGGCGGGGAATGCCTGCACCTTTGTAAACCCGGACCGCTGCACATTCAACCTCCAAGAGGATCAGCTGAACTCGCGCTGCTGCTACTGGAGCTGGTAAACAATCCCAAACTTCAAACTCTCCCCCTCCCCTATCAACCCCGAAACCCAGCAGCCTAAACACTAGGCTAAGCCGTAACCCTGGGCCAATAACATCAGTCCTCCCGGAACCCTAAACTCAAAAACCCTGAACTGGCTCCAAACCTACTAGTGCTCTAGTGTCACGAATGCCAGGTATTGCCAGGCCATTACGGCTTAGGGGTATAAGGGGTTTAGGGCTTTGTGTTTCGGGGTTACGGGTGTCCAGGATTTAGTAAACAACGCGTCGACTGCAAGTCGCGCCCCGAGGCTCCGGCATGCAACAGGCAATGCAAGTCACAACGCCAGTAATCAGAATTAGGGTTCATTTAAAACGGGTCTATGGAAGGGTTACTATAAGGGATCTATAAGGGTACTATAACTCCTTTCTATCAGCCGGTGTTGGATGTTAGGAGTATCCTGGCCTCTTCTTGGCGGTCTTGCCAGCTTGGCACTTGGACTTCCTCCGACCCACTTGGGGCGTCGACTGCTTTTGGAAGGAAGAGGCTCGCTGACACGCTTCTTCCAAATCCGCCATGCGGCTAGAAGGTCCCATCCGACCGCCGTGGCTCACGATGTTCTTCCATGCGTGTGGCGGATGGCTTGGCAGCGTCACTGACAACTTTATCTCACGTTCGCTTTTGGCAGCCGAACAACTCGTCATGGCTTTCCACCAGCCATAGACCTGAACCCGTGCTCCGCGAGCAAGTCCTTGAGCAAAGCTTCCGCGAAGAAGAGTCTGAAAGCAGCGGCGTTCAGAAAACCAAAGACCAGAAATACACATACAGCCACGTCCGGATCTGAATGCATTTAGAGCTCTGCCTATAGCAATTTTGTGTGAGGCGCTGCTTGAGCTCTTGAATTTCGGGTCTGGGCCCAAGGGCTTGCAGCGGTCTTACCTAAACATTTCAACCCTGGTCCTGAAACCTCAGCCCTACACGCTCAACCCGATGAACCCTAAACCCTAAACCCTAAATCCCAAACAAACCGTCTCTCTTTTTTAAGGCAGCTTCGGAGCAGAAAGTGAAAAGCTCCGAAGTAAGGAATATCATCGAAAGGCATGGGCAGCTTCAAGTGATACTTGCTATGTAAGGTAGGGCCTTCATCATAAGAATAGGGTTTAGGGGTGGGTAGTAGTACAAGTGTAATCGGGAATCCTCAGGGTCAGTATGTAGGGGCCTTAGTAATTACAATAGGGTCTGGGGTATCTTAGACTATAACTATACTGAGGAAGCCCCAACACCCTACTCTAATTATTTGGGCCCCTACATCACTCCTCAGCACTGGGATAACCCGCTGCCGTTGCCTGGCAGCAGTGACGAATCCCGATCGCAGGAAGAAGCTCAGCACATCGCTCCTCAGGTAAACTGCACTTTGGCTGTGCGGGCTCAGGGTTTAGAGAGTTCTGGCGTGTAGGGTTGACAATACTCATATCCATGAACATACCTGCTAGTTAGAATTTGAGCTGTAACCAACGAGCTTTGCTGCTGCTGTTCGGACGGTGTAGTAAACACGAAATTTAGATCCTCGGCTTTCTGAGACACGAAACTCCACAACCTCCACAGCCTATGGCATTGAGATGACATATTGGAACGTTAAAGCCTTGGCCTCAGCTTGTTCTACTGTGTTACCGGGTGTATGTGGGAGTTCAAACCTTAGGCTTCGATCCCTTCGAGTGCCGAATCACCAGCAGAATAGGGCTTTGGGCCTCGGTCCACTCTAACCGGAAGCCACCGTGAGCTTGAAAACGGCACAACCCGCAAGCTTTCAGCCAAAACGAAATCAAGCTTTCAAAAGGCCGGACCCCCGACTGCCCAAGAAGTGCAAAAGCCTAAACCCTAAAGCCTCAACCCTAAGCCCTCAACCCTAAGCCCTAATCCCTGAACCTTAAACCCTAAACCCTAGAAGCAACATGAGCAACAAAGAAGCAGGTAGGAGTAGACGGACATGCAGTCTGAACTCCTTGGCAGATCTGCCAGGGTGCGCAGCTCTGTTTGTTAGTCTTTACGGTGATTTTAGGGTTTAGGTTTGCTGTGATTTTAGAGTTTGGGGTTTCAGAAATGAAGACCCTAAGCGCTCAAATATCGGCTAAGAAGAGGGGTAGGGTGTGAAACTCCAGCCTCATGAATATGCAATACAGAGGCATGATGTCCGCAGACTCTCTGTGGGAAATGACGCAAAAAAACGCTGGACATACATGGAAAAGCACTTAGCCACAGCAAAGATGAACTCATGCCAAAGGACAAGCGCGACGTGAGCTCTCCGGCATCCACTTCGTCGTAGAAGCTCAGCTCCTTCCAGGACAGGACGGAAAAGCCTTAGCCTTAACCACAGATTCAGTAAGGCTTCAATGGCTGGTATCCCCATAAGGATTCCCAATGAGCCCTGAAAGCGCCCACCAACACCCTACGACGAACCAGATCATGATGAAGGTGCTAGGCAAACTGGGACCCAGACGTAGAACCAGCAGAAAATGAGTACAGGGTAGCACACATCGCCTTGGTTTTTGATTTGCCTTACCCCACATCGGAGCTATAAACTCCTGAACATGGCATCAAATCCAAATCAGCACATCTCAGCCCACAGCCCTGTCTAGTGGGCAAGGTTTTAGCAGCTGATTTACAATTCATTAAGTACCCTTCGCATTCCGTTGTAGAATTCAGGCCACCCCAACATGCTGCCTCAATCCAAAACCGAGCATCCTAAAGCTCTAACCAAGCCCGCCTTCGCCCAAAAAGGCCCCGCAATGTCGAGAGCCCTAAAGCCACAAAGACCCCACTGAGCCAAAACCCTATCAACCCCGAATATCCATCCCGGCTCCTCCCCCATCAGGGCGTCGAAAGCGTCCTCTCTGAGTCTTGACACGAGCCGGCTGCGCAACCTGGGATGCATTTTGGGTTGTAGCGGTTCGGCGGATTCTGACTGGACTCTGGTTAAGAAAGTTGAGAGAAGTCTCTCTAAATCCCGAACCTCAACCCTAAGCCATCCCACCACCAGCCACTTCAGAGGAATATTGAGGAACCGTAATCGAATTGCTATGGTCACTAGTATTGGTCCTAATCTGGCCCAAACTGCAACATGCTACCGGATCGAAACAGGTCCCAAAGCTATGGAAAGGATGCGTGGAAAGCTGATCAAAGTTTTGCCCCTGAAATAAGCTGCCTCTTCAGGTGGCTCTAATTCTAGTCTGGATCTAGTCTTCCAAGTAAAACACAAAAAAAGTCTAGTACCCCAAAATGCTCTTCCACTCATTTAAGCCCCTATACTCGAGCCATTCTTGCTACATTATGGCATTACGTCTTGGATCGCTATTGCTGCTGCGACGACGACCAGGACAATCACTATAACAAAGCGACTGAAGCACCGCACCACCAGGGAGTTTCCGAAAATTAGGGGTACCTTTTTCGGGGTCCTTATAATAAGGATCCTACTCTTTAGGGTACTATATGAGAGGCCCTATTTTCGGAAACTCCCATCACGAAGAGCACTGGCTAAGTTGGTGTTCGATACGTTTTACCCGGTTCACCTGGCTCTGAAACTCTTGCAAGTATTCTAGCTCATGGTTGGGATAGGATTAAAAATGTACTTTTCATTCCTCATTGGGTTTAAGTACCCATAAACATGTAAAGTGTTACCCAACTATGAAAAAAGTATTCCTATCATAGGCCCTGCTTTGCCAAGCAGCATGTTGAAGGCAAAGTTCTTCAAACCCTCGGCAACTCCACCGAGAACCGCTGCCGCCGCTACCGCACATGCCCGTTGGGCGAGCTGCACCCGCCCGCTGCCCTGCATTTTGATGTGTTCGGGCTTTGGGATTGAACGGCTTAAGATATTGGATTTGGTTTCTTGGTTCAAGGTTTATGGTTCAGGGTTTAGGGCTTGTTCAGAGCTGCGGTTGATAATTTTCTTTTCACGCAAGGAGATCGAGGGAAACACAAGACAAGAGTATGAAATTGTATTGCGGCAATCCCACCTCCCCTTCGAACTTGTTCACGGGCACATGTGCCGAGGTACACGGCTTACGGAATTGAGGAGATACAGAGAGTGGGAAGAATGGGTGTGGGGTTGTTTATGGATTTGGCTCCGATGTTCTCCAAGATTCTCTCTCAGCGTACTTTTGTCGCGTCTTGCATATGACGATCAAAACAAGCCTTCCGCAGAACAACGTTCGACAAACACCAACTCAATCCCCCCTCCCCAAACACCGCGGTTAGCAAAGCGTGCATATACTGATTCCGATTGTGCTTCCTGTTTTGGACGGCTTAATGCTAACGCTTACACAGCTGAAGATGCTGCAGGTGATGATGGCCGACATCATGGTGCTGATGATTCGTGGTGGTTCACAAGGTAGAAAGATGTGCATTAGGAGCATTACCGCCAGTTCTCAGAAACCCCTAAAAGCGCTAAACCAACTTTAGACAAGAACCCTATACAAGAAGAACACAAACCGCCAAGAACTTCAATAGATCCGATAACAAACCCGATGAATCCCATTACACTCTCTTCAGAAAGCCTCCCTAAATCCTAAACCCTACACCCCATCTCGAACTCGGCCTCTACGGCTGCGAAGAGCGCAGCCGCCACCAGAGGTGGCGAAGCGACCTGTGAAGTCTCTCGTAACAAGATGACCTAGAGTCCTGGGCTTACGGTGCGAAGGCTCAGATTTTTTGGTTTGTGGGATTCGTAGGTGTTGGGGCTTAGGACTTAGGGCTTAGGGTTTAGAGGTTTCGTGGTTTAGGGCTTGATGCAGGCCTGCTGGGCTGTTTTCAGCGTTCGGGTGCCGGTTTACAGTCCCGCATAATTAGGTGATTGGACTAGGTTGCATGCGGGTGCGGAGGTTGCTTTGGGTGTTTTTGAAGGGCTCCATCTTGTCGGGTGCCATGAAGCTTCATTTGCCAGTCCGGTACATGTAGGATGGAATACGGCTATTCTGGGTTCATCAGTATTTCGGAGCATGTATGATCATCAACTACTTGGACCTTTGCGGTGAGTTCACGATTGTAGTCCACTACTCAGTAAGTGACTTGTACAAGTTTAGTTTAGGAGAAGTCGCGGGCTGGTTCTACCTCTTGGGATGGAGGACGCAAGTGGGGGTTGGGGTGCTGGAGTGATACTGCAACAAGAATGACGAATAATTCACCCTCAAAAGGACACCCAGATCACCCCGAACCCCCCCAAAACCCCCCATATCCTAAACCCTGAACCCAGCCCTATCAGCCGCCCTAGAACCTAACATCTTATTTTCTTCGCAAAAACCCTCGCATAAAGCGATTTCGTGTGACTTCTTTGTCTTTTGTATTCGGTCGAAACAGGGGCCCTACACCACAATCCCCCGTCCCCCCCCTCTTCCCCGAGCCCAACAGGAATCCAACCTCGGCCAAGGAGGTCAGGACAAGACCTGACAGCTGTATACGCGATGAATCAGGCCGTCACAAGTCGGATGGAGTTTTCTCAGGTTTCACGATTAGGATGGGGTTCTGTCAATTTTGCAGGGGTTTGCAGGATCATATTGGTTTTTACCGTTTGTTAGGGTTGTCCGCGAGCAGGGCTTTCGGGTTTGAGGGGTGCCTTATCATCAGAACGGAACTGTGGGGTATGTAACGAGACGAAAACACAAAGGACGAGAAGAGGGTGTTAGCACCGCTGATTCCGACCTCTGTACCAGGGGTCTGTATTTCGACTTCATTTCGGGGCGTACGTTGCGGTTCGGTGTGTTTAGGGTCTCGGCCTAATCACACCCTCCCCCCAAAGAAGCTTGTTTGAAGGTGAAAGTTCAGCGTTCCGAATGCTAGTACTGCCGAGCATTCAAGGTGGCAACATTCACAAACAGTTCCTGCAGTCTTGGTTTCTAGACAAACTAAGATCACAGCCCAAAACTCACCTGAGGAAGTTTGTCAGGAGTGAGGATGAGGCACAGCGCTCCATTTCACCAGCCAAATGTGGCAAGATGATCCCACGGTACTGTAGCCAAACATTCGCCATCCTGTCCGAAAGCCCTAAGCCCTAAACCCTAAACCCTAAGCTCATAGTCTCAGGATGTTTTTTGATCGGTCATAAGCTTTCGAGCGCCTGCAAGCGATCCACGCTGTGTTTAGGGGGTTGCGGCTTCAGGCCCCTACCCAGGATGTCCAGCCTGGACCCCTAACCCCAAAGCCCGGATTCTAAGCTGCAAGCCTCCAGCTCCTTCAGTTCGCTACGGAAACAGACGTGATGCAGGACGACAGCCCGGCCCGATATTAACAAAAAATGCCACTGAATATGAACTCCGAGATTAAACCACTCTCTCAAATACAGCCACACAGACACAGGGAACTAGCAGCTTAGCATGTTTTTGAAAGGGCCGTGGTCCACATTGGGCCCCCAACTTGAATCATGCTCCCAGGTCCGAGCGGGCATGCAAGCCTAGCTTGATCCCTTGGGTTCAGGGCAATGGCTTCTTTGAGCTGAATTTTCGATATCTGCCCTCTTAGGGCAACAGGGTTTAGGGAAAAGAGTTCGGGCCAGTGGGATCGAACGTCTCGGGATCCGGCCGGACACCCCGAGGAAGAGCCAGAGGTAGTCGATTCCTCTTCGCACGGAACGATGTGGTTTGGGTTCAGGATCAGGGCTGGGTTGCTACAGTTCGTCCAGCTCGGGGTGCAGAGGATAATGCATGTAGAAAACTATACGATAGTACCTAAACCCAGGCTACTCCATAGAACAGCCCGAGCTTGGACTGAGGGTTTCACAGTGGTGCAGTGTAGGGCCAAGAGGAATAAGCTTGCTAGGATTTCTAGAGTACACTGTACAGTATGCTTACATAGACCTTGAAAGACATAACTACTAAGCAGGCTCCCTTACTTCTGTCAGGATTCTGCCTTTTAGGAATTTAGGATCCATGCCAGAACTCCCAACGCTTCTGAAACTCAGCTTCGGATTCAGCTAGATTTCAGGATGGACGTGGGACTCTCCTCACTATACAAAAAAATAAGACCCTAGCAAAATTATAATTCTAGCTGCTTCTTAGAGATTATAAATATAGTAACCAAAAACCAAAAAATATTTAGTTCATATTATATTATAAATATAGTAACCAAAAACCAAAAAATATATTTAGTTCATACATCATGAAAACCGGAGGACGGGTTCCCAAACCCATTTGCCCTACACCCTTGGAACAAGCACACCAAAGGAGCCTTAAATCATAAGAAGGCCCATATAATTCATAACTCGGTGATATTGGGCTCTTGTGTGAGGCACCCTCCTATATAGAACTTTGGCCATCTCCCTTAAAGGCGACCGACACTGAAGCCGAATCCCTAAACCCAAAGCTGTGGAGAGGACCTCGAAACTCAAAACGCTTGAAGCCCCACAACCGAAATCCCGACACCCCGAAACTTCAACTTCAGAAAAAGGAAGCACCCGGAGCCTGCAAGCAGTCGCAGTATCGCAGAGGCCACCTCCCCTCGGCTTCTTCCACTTCTCCCATTCAGCTCCTGACGGTGTCGGGTCGGAGTGTAAGGGCCGCAGGGTCCGAAATCTTCCTGCCGAGCTTCCGAAGCCCTCAACAACCCGAATGCCGATGAGAGGGCGCGAGAGGAAAGCGTAGGTGCTTGCAGAGAGCTGGGGTTGGGAAACTCTAAGGCTTGAAACTTGAATCCCGTCATTAATTACTGTTCAAAGACATGTGATGCTCAATCCTGAGCATTGGAAGAACTAGCTCCGAGTTTCCTACACTTCCGAAGCACTCACACCTTTTTTAGCAGCGCGCGACGAACGAAGTCGTCCTTGCAGCTTCGCTGCGGGGGTGGGCGGGTGTGGTACCCTTGAGCCCGTGCTACGGGTAACAGGAAACTCTACGCCTACACGGCTATACAAGGCTACCAAGTTTCCTACACTTCCGAAGCACTCACACCTTTTTTAGCAGCGCGCGACGAACGAAGTCGTCCTTGCAGCTTCGCTGCACCACCCCCCACTGCAAAGGAGAAAAAAGCCCCCCCCCAAGGGGGAAGCCCGGGCGAGAAGCTCGCCTCGGGAGGGAGGTTCTTAAAAGGAACCTTAACGAAAGAAAACGGAGAGGCCGAAAGCGAGCGCACAAAATGAGACCCAGACCCCCGCGAGCCGGGCGCGAAACGCGCCGCGGCCGTAGCCGAGATACACAAAGTGCCTGGCTAGCTGGGGGTTAGGTCTGCTAGCGCCATACTCTCAGCGACCCCTCGCGCAGATTCACGCGACTCCCAGAGGTAGGATTGGTAGGCGTTCGACGTCCACCTTCCGTACCTCTTGATGAGTTCAGCATTCTGGTATCTAGACCAGAGGGCGCTCGCGCCCCCACCTTAATGAGCGCAGGAGCTTCGCCCACATGTTCAGCACATTGTTGCAGCACTAGCTGCAAAAATTGCCTAGTGAGGAGATCTCCCTTTTCCCCTCGGAGAAGGTGCTCATCCTGCTCTGTGCCCCCAGAGTATCTCTGTGGGTAGAGCTGGAACACTTTGACCGCGGCCCGAACAGGGCAAAGCTCCTGGCCGGTGGCAAAATGATTCCGCGAGGCGCCCGCGTTGTAAATGTCGGTTTTCGAGCTCTGAATAAAAATTCTCAGCTCATCGGCCAAGTGGAGCTCCTTCTCCGGGCAGGGTTTCCCGCCACGGAGCAAAACCACGTCGCAGCCCCGAAGTCCCCGAGTCTGTCCGTGCCAGGCGTCTCCTATTAGCTCTGAGGCTCTAAGGAGAAAAAAGAAGCCCAAGAAAAGCGCCAGCACGATCACTGGCCCATCTTTTTCGTGCTGCAGCAGCTTAACTGCCGCTAGGAGCATGGTAGGCGTAACTGGGTGTCGCCTCTCCAGCGCTGGGTACTTACGCTTTATCCCATCGAGCACCAGTGGGATTCGAGGAAACTGTGCGAGGGGGTTGGGCAAGCCGACAGTCAGATGTTCTGACCTGATCGCTGCCAACCTCATCTTAATGGTGCCGTGGGATCGGAGGCCATTGAGCGACGTATGCAGAATAAAATCGAGAAATAACGATTCCTCGGTTTCATTGTAACACGGGACATGCCTATACGGGGATATCCCTCGCCTTGAGCAAAACAGAGCCCACCAGGTCCAATGGGACGCATAGAGGCGCTGAGTGGAGGTCGCTAATCTGGCTTTTATGTAGCGCAGTGCGGTGGCCCCCCAATCGTCCTGCCCTATTGCCCCGAACTGCAGGACCGTAGCGGCTGGCCATCGTGCCTTAGCGCCCGCGGGTCCCTGCAAGTGCGGGACCTGCACTAAGCCAGGCCGCTTGCGCATCTCCGACGCTGGTGGCGGGGCTGCTTTGACCCGCTTGCGCTCCGACGAAGGGACCCGCGGTCGGTCCGCTGACGGAGAGAGCACCTCTGGTTCCTCCTCAGCAAAGCGGACCCGCTTCCCTGCATTCCCTAAGGGGGTGTGAGAGCTACTTTCCCCGGGCTCGAAGCGAGCCACGGGAGTGCCTCCGACCCGGCGAGGGGGGAACCCAGGTCTCCCTGCAAAGTCCAGGCTTTCTTCCGACTTCCCGGGCCCAGAACAAAGGAGGAACAGGCAGACCCCGAGGGAGAAAACGCAAACGACGAGGGAGAGGCTCAAAGCCCATACCCCGAAGCGCTCTCGGGCCTCGGCATCCTTTATAAGGGATGCGCGATGGCGTGGTTGGTATCGCGCACCGCATCGTCGGTGCCCGGAGGCGGCCGACGACGCCGGGCAGTTCCCGGGTGGCGTCGCAGAAGTTGGGCGTGGCAGAGTTGGCACCGTTCCAGCATCCGGGTACCGCGACCCGTGATGTGGCCACACGTACGCCGGTGCCATGCCCTGCCCCTGGGGGTAGCTTCGAATCCAGTGGGATCGACCCCGGGGTTACAGTCTCGGCAAGCAGCGATAGCATGGACTTCACGTCCACGTACCCGGGGGCAGTTGCGATAATGCCACACCGAACCTTGAGAAGTAACTACAATCGCAGGGGGAGGGGGGAGCTCGTCTTCTCCCCCTCCTGGCGCGGGGGCAGGTTGCAACTGAGGTGCCCTGGGCTCGGTACGAGCCGCGGGGTTCCCAGGAGGCGGATCAAGGTTCGCCAGCCAAGCTTGGGTTGGCGGTGGTGCTTTCGGGGGCTGGTGGTGAGGTGGAAGAAGAGGCTCCACTTCCAGTTGGCGCGGCGCTCTGCCCCCCTGCAGGACCCGTAGGGGCTTCCGTAGTCGCGGCGCGCTGGTTCCATTCCGCAATGCTGCGGAAGCCTTCCCAGGGGTCCGCATCCGCACGGTCTGTACTCGTCGTGCTTGTGGTCCCTGAAGACCCCAGGCTCTGGGGCCCGGTGGGGTCGCGCGGGCTAGATCGTCGCCACACCCCAAGGGTGTACCCCGAACATATGCTAAGCCCTGGGTAGCGGTGCACGAGGAGGGGGCTCCCCAGGGGTCCCAGGCCGGCAGCGTCGGCGCAGCGGCCGAGGTGCCCGTCCCCACGTCCAGCAGCACTAGGACAGCTGCGGGTGTCGCCGTCGCCCCGATGCATGGCGCAGTCCACCGGGTCTTCCCCGGGCGCGAAACGCGCCGCGGGGGCAGGGCCTTCTTCACCCCGGTCGGCCAGGTGCGCGATAGCATGGTTGGTATCGCGGTCCATGTCATCGGTAGAGCGCCTCTGGCGCCATCTTTGCCATTTGAGCGCGGCTCGGCGTTTGGAGTCTTTCTGCCTGGGCTTCGGGTCGTGGGGCCGAGCCGCTCTCGCTTCTTCGCGAAGCATTCGTCGAAACTCAGTGAGTTCCTCGCGGGCCCGCGTGTCCATTTCGGCATCTAGGGCTGGCCCTCTTTGGTCGACTGGCAAGTCTGCGATCACGCTTGTGGCCGCCGCCCTTTCTTCAGCCGCCTGCGCCGCTTGAGCCTCTCTGTGTCGAGCGGCCCGTTCGCGGCCTTTTTGTTTGCGGCGCTCGACCCAGACGGACCCCCCTGCTGCGATGGCCTGTTGCATCCGCGCATCTGAGGTTTTCGAGGCTCCGGCGGAAGGTCGCACTGGGTTGTTCTGTTCCAAGGCCCTCATTTCGGGAGTGAGGGACTCCAAGTACGCCGCCTCTGTACGGGCTCGCTGGGCGACGTCTCGTTGGACGTCGATAGCCCGTATCTTCCCCTCGAGCGAGGCCACCCCACGCTGGTAAGCTAGCTGCTCCAGGCGGTCCAGGGTTTGGCTCTTAGTCAGGGCCGACACATTGCTCCCTTCGACGACCTTCTTAAGGCTCTTGAAGTTCGCGGAGTCGGCCTGGGCGATTTCCCGGATCAGCTGGAGGTGTGCCGTTCCAAAGCGGACCTTCGGAGACTCCGAACGCGTTCGAGTAGCCGTCCGGCTCGTCAGCTCTCCAGCCTCTCCGGCGCGCGAGACAGAAGCGGCTCGCGCACTTGAGGAAGAAGCAAGCTCCGGGCGCGAAACGCGCCGCGGAGAAGCCTCATCCTCCCGGTGGCCTGCCCCAGTCTGGTCTTCGCCCGCCGGGATCGCTTGGACGATGACCGGCTCTTCCTCGTCCGCGGACCAATCCGGTTCATCGTCGCCCGCCGATTGAAGGACCTCAAAGGTCGCTGGCTTTACAAAAACCGTAGTAGTCCCCTGGCTGGCGGTGACCGGGTCAAGCGCCTTAGCGACGGCGGCCAGGCGCTCGACGGGGCCCGGGGCGGCCGTCTCGGCATTCAGCGGGAGACCCGCTTCGTCCTCACTGAGATGGCCTCTGCAGCGGTCTCGTGGTCGGTGGTGACCATTGCCTCTTCCGGAAGAGGCGCTGGGTCTCGTGACCCGCTCGAGGGTTCCTCTGAGGCTTGGGCCGGAGCTGGCGTCAGCACCACAGGCTGTGAGTGACTAGGCGCCGAGCTTCGGGCCGGCGGAAAGCTGTTCTTAGTCGGGTCCCTTGCCGGTGGGAAGCTGCTCCGCGTGGGGTCCCTGGCGGGCGGGAAGCTCGCTGGCCCCGCTGGCCTAGCAGGTGGAAAGCTGGAACCGGCGCCCGCTCCGGGCTCCCCTTTTCGTGGGGGAGCTTTGGCTAGAGACCTGAGGGCTTCAGCTTGCCTCAAGTGGCTCCAGCTTCCCAGGTGGGAGGCCATTTCCACTGGGTTCAGGTTGGTGTACCCACACAGGAAGCAGTGGAAGTTAAACGCACGCTCAAGCTCCCGCCGTTGTGGCGGCGGGCCCGCAGCCCGCTGCTGAGGAAAGCCCGGGGCCGAGGTGACGACCTCAGCCGAAGGCGAGGGAAGGCCTTTAGGACCGACTGGGCGCGAAACGCGCCGCGGGGAAGGGTTTCTAGCGGTAGGTCCCGGCGCCGGAGACGTGGATCCACCTCCAGCATGCTCTGCCCAGTCAAACCCTGACCCTGGGGCGAGGCTCGCTTCGAACTCGCTCCAAGGTAGAATGGCAAGAAACAGCTCGGATGGCAGAGCATGGTCGGCCAGGTAGATCCCATTCCCAGTGAGCCTAAAGGACACGTGATTCTCAGCCTGCGCCTTGCAAGCGTCGATCAAAATGGCTACCTCAAGGTCGGGCCGCCACTTGCGGTGAGGGTGCTTGGGATCCAGCAAGTGAATCGACCTCCGCGTCGGTACCAAGCCTTCCGCTTGGATGCTCGGCACGTAGCTGCTGTAGGTTCCATGCACCAGGACGCCGGGCAGGGAACCCGCCTCGACGTGTTGGGCTGGCCCCAGCACACCTCGTATGGTGTGCCCCGACCAGGCAGCGACCTGCTCGACACCTTGCGACGTCCTTAGGTTGAACCGGTTCTTGTTGGAGGCCGCTACCGCCTCTCTCACCCTGACGGAGGTCCAGCCCTCGAACCTCCTGAACCGAAGCAGCTCTTCCACGGCTATGTAGCCGTTGACGTCGACTGGGGCCGTGTGCCGGAGGAACGCCGTGAGCTTCTTGCCGTCGTCGTAGCCCGGCGGGTTCGCGGTTCCTCCCGGAGCGCTCTTCTCTCGGCGTCCTTTCACGCGAGGACTCGTGCGGCCGTCCTCCGGCCCGGCGGTTGCTCATGCTCAAGCGGCTGTTTTCAGCCTCGAGCCAAGCAGCGACCTGGGCCCAGCAGTGGCTCTCCCACGGCAGGCTGCACGCGCCTGCCCTCTCTGGAGCGAGTGAGGCGTCCTCGCCTCTTTCGAGGTCGGGAGGGTTAGTCCCGGGCTCGAAACGAGCCACGGGAACCTGCTCCCCCCGCAAGAGGCAGCGCTGCCCTCTTCTCCGGCTGGCGGCGCTCCCCTACCCCCGTGAGCGCACCCCTCCCCTACAAGGCTACCTGAACCTTCGTGCCTAAGCACGACGTGAGCCAGGTTACGGACCAGGCGGCAAGGGCAAGGGGGGTGGCTCTAAGGTACGAGGTGGCAAGGGTGCTAGCGGCGTTAGGGTCAAGGGGGACTTCAGGGTCTTTGCCTCCTTGGAGGCGAACCGCCTCACCGGGTTCTAAAACCCTAGGACTAGTACCCTTACCTAGCAAAACCAAACGGTCGGGGTGTCGGGCTTCCCAGGAACCTTGATGCAAGCTCGGAAGGGGGCGTGCAGTTGAAAAGACAAGCTCCCTAGCGCGACTACTCGAACCACCCCGAAGCTCCCCCAAAGGTTTAGGCTTATGAGGTCCCAGGTGGGGGAAGGTGGGGTCGACCTTCAACGTGCCCCCTTCTATCCAGGTGGTGGGCTCACGATTTGCCCAAACGGGGTCGAAGGCTGGGATGGTCTCGGGCGCGGCGGAGAGGGCATTGAAGGCAATGCTCAATTTTTCAGGGGCGCCCGGTGCGGAGTCCTCCCTTAAGCCCAAGACAAGACCTCGCTTCCACCACGTGCGATCACCCAGCGCTCGGCCATAAGCGACCCCTTGGCGGTAGGTGAGTTCGTGGTTGGCCCCACACGTAGTCTTCTTACCGAGGGCGTCGTGGAGCAGGTCGATGAAGGCGGCGTGTGGGCGCAAAGCAGACTCTGCGGCCCTGAGCAAATCAACCTCCTTGCGTGCGTTCAAGGCTCCCCCCAGGATAACGCAAGTGCCCGCCTGAGCAGGTTCAGGTGTATCTCCATCGCGGAGCCATTCCACGCGGGCGCCCTGTCCTGTCCAAACCCGTTCTTGGGTCCACGCATGCTCTCCCACAAGGTAAAGAGTGACCGTTGGCAGTTGCAGTCTCCCCTCCTGCGGGGAGTGCGTTCCACGCAGAGCCAGCTGCACCGCGGTTCCTCGGTCAGAGTGGGGCTGACCCGCCCAAACCAGAGCCCGCCTGGACCATCCCTGCTCCAGAAGGACATCCCAGTCGGGGTCCTTTTTGAGCAAGGTGAGTCCCATGGCCCTCCCACCGTAGGACCAGAGATCGCGAATGGATGTGGCGCCCGGTCCTGCGCCAGCAGCCTCAAAAGGTCGAGAGTATCCCAGAAGCTGTCCCACTGGGCTGCCACTTCAGAAGGGTCGCCCTGTGGGTTAGCTCGGCCCTGCTCGTCCGGGGGTTTGAGGAGCGCATTGATGGAGTGCAGGTAGGGGTTGACAGTGGGAAGGACAGCTGCCCAGAACTCCAAGTTACCACGCAATTCCTGCACCAAGCGCAGGGCAAGGTGAGTGTTTCCTCGATCGAAGTCAGGGAGGAGGAGCAAGTGGCCTGCTTTTTCGAGCTTCGGCCCGGGAAGGGAGACAGTATTATCACGGGTATCGTAGGAGAGACCCCAGATCACCTTGTCAAACGTGAGCGTACCCTCCTCGAGGTCTTTCTCCGGGTTGATAGCTTCGGGGCCTAAGATCTTGCGCGCCGCTGCTTCGGCCGTACGCAGGGACTGCCAAGGCCGGAGGCCCAACGCTGGTTCAATGACGACGGCGTCGTCCATTAGCA